ATGTACAATAAATAAAATAAATATACACAAAAAAATAATATATATACAATAAATAAGAATAAAATAACCTAAAAATAAATAAATAAAAAGAACACATACACACCTATATACAATATTTACAATTTAGCGAGAGAACTCCAAACCAGACTTGTCCCTCCAACTGTGGAGGGAAAAGTATGACTCCAGGAGTTCCCTGCACCCCTCTCTCCACCGCGTCACTAGGGCTAAACCCAGTGGAGATTGAGCAAGAGTGCTTTAGCCACATACACTCATGTCGTGAGTGGAGAATCTGGCCATTGCCAAAACTCTAATATTTACAAACTATAAAAGATCGCGGGGCCACTGCCGTTTTAACCTCCTTGGAAGATTATATGGATGAGTGGTGCTGGATAGAGATTGTGCAAAGGGATTCGGATGATGGGTAAGGTTCTGGTGGAATTTGGAGAATTTTGCTGGGATAAGGTCTAGGACAAATGGGATATTAAGGTCATGGTGTAGGGTTTTGTTGGTTACATAGAAAGGAGCATTGACTATTGTTCGAAGGACTTTGGATTGGAAGGTTTGGATGCGTTTGATGTTAGTAAATTTTGCTGTTCCCCACAGTTCAAGTCCGTAAGTCCAGATAGGTTTCAGTATTGTCTTATAGATCAGTAACTTGTTTTCAATGGAAAGTTTTGATTTTCTGTTTAGTCACCGGTATAGTTCTTCGTATCGTCGGTTTAGTTCCTGTCTTTTAAGTCTAGTATGAGGGTTCCACGTTAGTCGTCTGTCTAAGAGAAAGCCAAGGTACCGGACTGTGTCTGAGAAAGGAAGCTGAATGGAATTAAAGTGTACTGGTGGACAGGAACTGCGTTGGAGCGTGAAGGTGATGTGTTGGCATTTGGATTCGTTTACTTTAATACGCCATTTATTACACCAGTGCTCAATCAGGAGAGGTGTCTTTGAAGGTTTAAGGATGCTATATCAGGATTTGAGTCGGATGATAGGATGGCGGTGTCATCAGCAAAAGTTGCCAGGAAGGTATCGGGATGGACGGGGATATCAGCGGTAAAGAGGATGTAAAGGACTGGACCCAATACGCTACCTTGAGTGTTCCTCAAGCGCACAATAGGATAGCAATTCGATAATTCACTACCGCAGCGAACTCGGAAGGTACGATCTCAGAGGTAGGAACGGAGGACAAGGTATAAGGACTGAGGAAGATGGGTTTTCAGCTTGGAAAGAAGCCCATACCCGGTCGAAAGCTTGAGCTATGTCCAGAAATGCACCCGAGCAATATTGCTTGCTTTCCAATGCTGCGGAAATATGATCGACCACTCGGAGTCCTTGTTGGACTGTGGAGTGTTGCGAACGAAATCCCAGCTGATGGGATTTTGGGATTCTATAAATGGTAGGATTCGTTTCAGGAGGATCTTTTCAAAGATTTTTGAGAGAATCGGAAGTAGGCTAATTGGTCTGTAGGACGTTGAGGTGTTGGGAGGTTTGCCTGGTTTCGGAAACAGGATAATAGTGGAATGTTTCCACAAAAGAGGAAAGTGGGTGGTTCTTAGGATGGCATTATATAAGTAGGTGAGAAATATAACAGCTTTAGGAGGAAGTTGTCGAAGGATTTGAGAGGTAAGGAGCTCGTATCCAGGAGATTTACGGAGAGGAATTTTTTGTAAGTGATGTTTGACCTCAGAAGGATTAACTGCTTTAGGGGGCAAGGAAAGTGGAATGGGTGATGTAAGGAATTCTTCTACTGTTGTTATGGTATGGGTGAGGTTGGATTCCGGATGAGAGGTAAATGTTCTGGACAGGTGTCTGGCGAATTGCTCAACTTTATCTTCATCAGACGCTGCCCAGAAGCCATCGCTTCGACGGAGGGGATGGGAAATATGATGGGATTTTAGGATTTTGTTGGTGATCTTCCATAGGGAATTGTCATGAACAGAGAGGGAAGTAAGGTAGGAGTTGATGGATTGGGATTTGAAGGTGGCCAATTCCTGCTTTAATTGTTTACTGTAAAAATTATAGGAGCGACGATCGATGGGGTGTCAAGTACGTTGCAATAATAATCTGGCGCGGCGTTTGGTATGGATTAGGTCTATGAGGTGTTGAGGTGACTTATTTTTCTTGGGAGTTCTTGAGGAGTGGTTTGGAGAGGAAGCAGTCCAGATTGCTTGTTGGATAGTGGTGGTGAAAAGGTATACGGCATTGTCAAGGTCATCTGGAGTTTTTAGGGTTATTCTGAGGTCAATTTTATCGGAAAGGATTTGGTGAAAGAGTTTCCAGTTAACTGGGCCTCTGATGAAGAACGGTGAAGAAGACTTAGGAATAGGAGCTAGAGATAATTGGAGTAATAATGGACTATCATCTGAGGATAGTTCGGCAAGACGGGTAAGGGAATGATTGAGGGGACCTAAGCCACTGTGGATGAAAAAATCAAGGATATCAGGATTGCGGTTAGGATCTGTGAGCCATTAGCTAGGTGAGTTAGGAGGAAGGATACTGAACCGTTGGGAATCGAGTGCAGATAACAATGTTCTGCCACGAGAGTTCATGGTTCTAGAACCCCATTGATGGTGTTTGGCGTTTAAATCTCCACCCAGGATGAAATGATGTCCTAAGGAGTTGAGAAGAGAACTGAACTGGATATTGGATATGGATCTGTTAGGAGGGCAATATGCTGATGCTATGGTGACGAAAAAGGAGAAGGTTTTGATTACGATAGCGGTTGACTGTAGGAAATCTTGTGTCGGTAATGGGAGCTAGTGATGAGAAAGTGAAAGTGATGTATACAAAGTTTAAAGAAATCGTTGCAGAAGCTACGGAGATTAGCTGTTTTGAACATTTATATTTTTAATTATATACACTATTTCATATTTTTATTTATTGATATTACTAAAGCACTCCAATAATTATTAAACAAAAAAAAAAGGAAGAAAATCGGTTGAACAATAGATGAGAAAAAGGGTAGATGGTTAATATAATTGAGATGATTAAGTTAAAGCGAATAAAATGGGCATGTAAAATTGCTAGTCTTAGTAATGAAAGAATTCCTAAAAAGAAATCCAATCAAGAATTCGTAGGAACGATTTTTTACTTTCACTTACGTAGATATGTAATATATAGTAAGGGTAAGTATTGGGATCGTGAAAATTTTCGAATCGCAGTTTTCAACGGAAATACATGTTTTGAGGGTCCCTGAGTCCAAATAACCATGTGTCGCAAAATGGTCTGTGTGTCTGTGTGTGTGTGTTAATAGTCTAGCTCATAAAAGAAAAATAGTACGAAACTGATATTAAGTATTTAAGGTTGGTATATGGGCCGGATGTGACAGCAACTTTTTTGTTAAAATCGGCTAACCGAAAGTGCCACATTATATGAACGCTGAAACACATTTTTACAATTTTCTCAAAAACGGCTCTAACGATTTTGATTAAACTCGGTGTATCATTGTATAATTAAGTGGTCTTTAATATCATTTAAGTCTTTAATATCCCCGTCGATTTAACTATACAGGGCTTAAATGCCCAATGTTCATATATGTCTTCCTCTAAAGTACCTTTAATATGGTTTATTTTAAAAAGTTAATCATTTCGCATTATTTAGAGTTATAAAAAAATGCTACATATAACTTTTGAAAGAATTTGATAAGTTAATAAAGGAGAAAAAAAAAATGCAGAAAAAAAACCTGCGTTGCCATAGACTGTAGAACCTAAACGAATGTATAGATTTCAATGAAACTTGGTTTTTTAAAAGTTTATGGAATTTCCTAAAAAAATCGTTAAAATCGGACAATTAGGAGAAAAGATATGGTCTCTAGTTTTTTGCCTAAAGAGGCGAAAATTTGGATAAATTTAAAATATACTTTTTTAATTGTTGAGACTAAAAAAACCTTTTTACTACAGATATTTAATAAAGTATCTTTCCTAAGAACATCTTTCATAAGAAATATGTACCTAAATTTATATTTTTATTCTCAGTTCTATATTTCAACACTACAATCACCATCTCTGGAATCAACTTACTCATTGTCTGCATACATACTGCATACTTTTTCAATTAAAAATATCACTATGGCATCACTAAAAAATGTTGAAATTGGAGTTAGTCATTCTGTGGTTTATAAAAGCAAAGAATGTTGTGTTGTTTATAAAAGCAGATGGAGTGACTAGATTTTTATTGCCTGTCGTCAATATATTAGATAGACATTTTGTAATCATAATGGTCTTAATGACTTGTTATCTGTAAGCTTTAAGCTTTAGCTCCGTTTAAAATGCTCTTCAAAAAATGTTATAATAGCCCAGCATTACCAGAAAATAATTTCTATTCAATGTAGATCGGTAAGTGAAAGTTGAGTGTTGCGCGCACCAGTTTTTTTTTTGTGTGCTATGAAAATTAGTATTTGAAGGTCCTTTAAAATGGGAAATAAAAATTTGAACTTTGTTTTTCCTTTAAAAAATAATTGAACATACTTTGGCGTTTGGGCCGGTACAAATTGTATCAATTTTTTCAAACTTCTAATAGATTTCCTCATTTTATTTTATTTTTTAATAGAAATGTAGTAATATTTCTTGTAATAATGAGTAAAATCATGAAAACTTTTTGAGTTATTCTTAAATAAGGTTTCTTTTCCTTCTTTTCTAGAAATTTGGGGGAGTATGTTTATTAATGTTTGTTAATGAGGGGTCCACCATTGATTTTGAAGATATGGTGTACCGACAAAAGACACCTTTTAGAAATAATATGTAAAGATAAAAGTAGAATTAAAAATTACAGCATGAAACGTTTTATTGTATATTATTGAGATTTGGGTATTCCATTAATTTTAATACAAAAACATACAAGATTGAGTTTGATATGTGAATGGATTTGCATGTCTATTATTTGATTTGTGATTACAATCGGTATAATAAAATTCTTAATATGATTCCACATTGTTAGATATTGGTATTTTAACATGATAAAAACAGATAAAATGCATAATTTTAATATTTTTGAAATAATAAAGGAATCTACGATATCCTGGAGCAAGTTTCCATAGATCCATTGCTTGTTTCTGAAACAAAAGCATTCATTTGTGAAATATATAGGACATACGTAAATTGTAATAATGATATAATTCGTATTACATTAAAATTTTTTAAATTATATATAACTTATTATTTACAATTACTAGATTGGACTATTGAAGACTTACCCTTTACAACACTCTTTATCCAGTTGAGGTAATGGCCAATGTCGGTGTTGACAGCGGGGTTCTCTGAAGCACAATCTCTGCCGAAGGAGACCGTTGCTACTATGACGAACTTGGATATTTTAGGGTCTACGGCGATGAGAGGACCACCAGAGTCGCCCTATTACAGAAATGTAATTGGACATGATATATAGCATTTCAATAATCAATAGATATTATGTGAGTTTATTTAGACGTTAATGAAGATGGATCAGCTCAGTAGTGGTTTAGAAGATGGGTTCAAATTGTGGAGGTTATAAGCACAAGTTTGATTTCACAGTATTTGTCAACTAAGTACAAGAAGCAGTTTCATATTTGATTTTTCTTACATACCTGGCAGGAATCTTTGTTCTTCTCGTAAGTACAGATTTGAGTTCTAGGTATTTGGAGCTCACCGGGATAAAATCTGTGGCAAGTAGCCCAGGGAATAACTCTTAGAATAACTTCTCTTAGAACCTTAGAAGTCCGCCCTTCATGTTTTGTAAGTCCCCAACCTAAAGGAAAAAGCAATAAGGTAGTTGTTCAGAAGATCTTTGTCAAACTAAATTAGTAAATGGTATCGTCCAAATGCAAGAGTCTTGCTGTTTTATATTAGCTTATTGCTATTTATTAAACATGTTAATTTAAATCTTTAAAAAAAATGCTACAGAATAGATACATTTAGATGTTTTATTGGTATAAAAAACATAGTAAAGCCTAACCAAATTATTAAAATTAACTTGTTAATTCTTTGATGAACTAAAGCAATGTAAATGGGCAAATGAACAATTATTAAAGTCAGTGTATAAAATTCAACACACTATAACGTTGCTAAAACCGGTCCAATTTAGACGATTTTTAAAATAGTTTTGTCTGAAACTTAATTACCTTTTAACACATGTTACCACTACATAGTACAGAGATATTACTGTCTTTCTTCAGGATGGGGTAACCAAACTAAACCCCAAATGAAAAATTGGAAGCGTTTAATGCAAAAAGTACATTGGTTCCACCAATTCTTTACACACAGTGACTAAAATTGTCTAGTATTAGTAACTATTTTGCCTTGATTTTTATTCAAAAAAACGCTTTTTTTAAATCAATCTTGTTCTTGGTCTTTGACAAATCCGATTTCGGACAACACCAATAGTAACTGATCAGTTATTTATAAAATAAAATGCAGTTTATAAAATAAAATAAAATTTCTGAAATTTAATAAAAGTAAATAAAATAGATAAAATAAATAAAAGTAGAAATTTTCTTAAATTTCTACTTTGCTGTATATTTAAGGGATATAGATATGTATATAGTAAGAGAAAGTATTGTGATCGTGAACATTTTCGAATCCGAGTTATCAACCGAAATACACGGTTTGAGGTCCCCTGAGTCCAAATAACCAAGTCCTGTAAAATGTCTTCTGAGTGTTTGTGTGTGTGTGTGTGGGAGAGAGAGTGAGTGAACAGCTTAGCTCAAAAACGAAAACACACAAAACTGATATTACGTATTTAAGGATTTTATGTGTCTGGGATGTTACAAAACGTTTTAGTGAAATTAGGTTAATCGAAAGTGCCACTTCATATAATAGATTTTACACATTTTTACAATTTTCCCATAAACGGCTCTGACGATTTTGATTAAACTAATTATATCAATATATTATAATTTCTTCTGTTCATTTTTCCTAATTTTGGTGTCTTGAAGTTTTTTTATTTGTTACAATAAATTAGGCCATTTTTCACCAACTTTTTATTATTACGCATCAATTTAACGTTTCGACCATACTAAGGGTCATTTTCAAAACTGGAAAAATATAATAACATTATTAGTTAATATTCAGCAATTACAAAATTAATTTCTTATTACATTTAATTGAATTGTCTAACGTTCTATGTCAAATTATTTCCGATATACTTAAATTTATATAAAAATATACATAAAGTATACACTTTTTATTAAAAAAACCTTTACATGTAGGTAACTATAAACATTAAAACTCAAACAATTAAAAACAAATGACTATTACCTTGATGAGTCCTCCTAATATGTTCATCCTTAATGCTCTAATTAATAAGTTCAGTGAACATTAACTTGTCAATTTTTATAGGGGCTTCGCCCACGTCATTTCTGGAGGGACTGACTTATATCGTCCTGGTGGGGATAGTCAAAAGGAGAGGAATTTTCCTTCTAAGGAGTCCAAATAACCAAGTCCTGTAAAATGTCTTCTGAGTGTTTGTGTGTGTGTGTGTGGGAGAGAGAGTGAGTGAACAGCTTAGCTCAAAAACGAAAACACACAAAACTGATATTACGTATTTAAGGATTTTATGTGTCTGGGATGTTACAAAACGTTTTAGTGAAATCAGGTTAATCGGAAGTGCCACTTCATATAAAAGATTTTACACATTTTTACAATTTTCCCCAAAACGGCTCTGACGATTTTGATTAAACTAATTATATCAATATATTCTAAAGTTCTCTAAAGCATAGTACACACTACTGGACATTGTTCCGCGATTTGTCTATAGACCTTCTAGAGACGATCTCGAGACACGATCTATAGACACCATTTTTGTCTCGTTTAGCGTCCACACTACGATGGTAATTTCTCAGTCACATCTTTGCAGCCCACTCTGGAAGACATAGTTTTGTGTGGAATGAGTTCCTGATCAGTGCTAATGACAAGTGTAAGTACGCGAAAATTTGAACGTTAATGGATGCAAAAAGTGCTTGCAGAAGGAATTAGTTTCGATAGTACACTATTAAATAAATTAAGACTGGGAGATGCCACGGTAATCTTCAAATAGGTTTAAAACTTTCCCATTAAATCACATGTTTTCAAAAGAACTGCACAACTTTGGAAAATAACTGTAAACAAACGAACCAACCACATTGGAGGCAGATTGGGACGCCTCTTGACACCGACTGACATCCACACTGTCAAAAGTTTGTGCAACATATCTAACGTTGCATAATGTCTCCCATTCCGTTCGAGAGACTTTAGACCTGCGAATTTTGGTCTCGAAACAGGCCTGTAGACGGGGATCAGTCTATAGAGATGGATATGTGGACAAACAGAGTCATGTCCCAGAGACCAAAATCGCCCAACATGTCTACTAGTGTGGACTAGGCTTAATAGGTCTTAAATACCTAATTTTCAATTACCTTTAATTTTGTTTATATAAAGTAATTAACCATTTCACATTACAACTACTAATATAAAACAGAAAAAATATGAACGAATTCGAAAAATACCTAAAGGAGAAATAAGGATTAGTACTCCTGGGTAAAATAATGGAATAGAAACTTTTCAGGAGGAAATAGCCGAATAGGAAATTTTATTTATTAGTAGTTTAATTGATAAATTAGTTTCTTTTACTCGTAATTATGAAAAAGATTTTCATGCTAAATGTTGAGACTATCTACTAACTAAGAATAACTCTTTTTGGTTTATTATTTTTTAAACGTTTTAGATGAAGCTCAGAATTTTGATTAAAGATCCACTTTTATTTTTTTTATGACATTAAGATTAAAAAAAAAAAAATCCTATTTTGTCAGGATTCACTTTAGATATTCTCTAATAATGTAATTTGAATAGGGCCACAATTAGTGTTGCCCAAATGCGAGACCGAGACGAGTCTCGGTCTTGCAAACTCAGTCTTGGTCAACAGTCTTACAGTTACTTATTACCTTATTACTATAGACATATTACTGTATTTTTTTTAGATAGAAGAAACCTTATTAAGCCGGAATGGAATATTAGAGGAGTTAAATGTAAAAGTATATTATACCAATTATTAACATATTGTAACTAAAATTGTCGAGTATTAGTAACTATTTTACCTTAATTTTTATTTGAAAAATCGATTTTTTTTACCAGTCCTGGTCTTGTTCTTGCAACAGTTAGGCAGCCTTGGTCTTAGTCTTGCTAAGTGACCAAGACCGATTTTGGGCAACACTAGCCACAATGTTTTTTACAGTAATTAATTATTTCAAATGAGTATTTAAAATACTTTTTATTGTTTCCTAGAAGCATTATGAACTAAAGAAGCGCTATTGCACTAATAATGAAGTTAAAAAGTATTAAGTTTCTGGAATTACAAGGAATGTTAATATTAAGCCAAAACGATGGTGTGGGCGTCGCGGGGTATTGTTTCTCCTGGAACCTCTCAAGCATTATTAAGTTGACTACTATTATGGATGACATTAACTGGAAGATGTTAATGAAGAAAATAAAATTAGAAAACTAGCATGGACATATTTCTGAAGATTATGTTACGTTGTTGCTCTTTGTATAAGAACTTAATGTGTTTGGTTATTTTATTATATTGTTAAAATATAAAGGAATTATGTGGATTTATTTCATACCTGCTACTAATAGGTGACTGTTTTCCAAGTTGACCCGCCTGTTCGGCAAACAGGCTGGTCCTACATCGTTCCTGTAAATGAGATTTCTGTCGAGCACAATCATGGCTATGTCGTGGGCTTCATTATCTTCGGCATCGTAGTTGGGGTGTTCGATCGTCCTCGCTACGGGAATGTACTGGTCTCTTACAGCTGTGGACATATTCCATTACATAAACCTTCAGATAGACGATGGCAGCTATAATAGTTCAGACTGTACTCACCGTTCCTGATATCGTGAGCTCCTACCAGTAGGCGCAATTCTTTGATCTTGTCTTTGATGTCGGCTGTGCAATGCGCTGCGGTAATGGCATGTCTCCTGGTAAGGATAGTGGCCCCGCAGAAGGGTTGCCCATCGGTGAAGGTAAGAGCCGCCATGAAAGGATATGCATTTGCTCTTGACTCTCTACCTCCTACGATTCTTCCCTGAAGATATATTTCAAGTTGAAAGTTATATCAATATCATCTTTATTGAATGCACAAGACATGGATGGTTCGGAAGCTGGTCAGACTAAGTCATAAGTTTGCTTAAAATAAATTATATGTTGCAACTGCTCTCTTATTAATCAAAAAAACAACATTTAATAGATGACTTTGGCCACTAGTTAACTTCTTTAACGTTTTGTATTGATCTCGGAATAAATGGGCTGAAATGTTCAAAAGTCATTTAGTGTATGACCTTTTGAAACAATGAACTGTTTGTCATAATAGATGATTCGATATAATGACCTGCTCCTCGTACAAAATCAGTGATTATAATATCAGTATGTCCTGTGCACTAGTCAAAAATGACATTTCATCTGGATATTGGTTCTAAATAGATATCAGAAAAAAAGCGTAATTTGACCGATTTAAATTTATACCTTCTGGATTCTGAAATATATAGTGATTAAGAGGTTATTATTAGTATTTATAAAATAACAATAAAAATATTTAAATCCACTCTGGAGACTACGAACCACTTTGAATTCTCGTGTGGCAGAACAGATCTCATATATGAAGTCTAAGCAGACAAATGGATTTGGATAGATTGATAATGTCAGAAGGATACGATTATTGTTTGTAATGATTTCGTTCGCCGTAGATGTAATCAAGAAAAGATGGAAGTGCAGGAAGGGCAGTTCAGCGAAGAAGTAAAACACGTAATTATAAACTAATTTGTCCGATTTAATTATGTACTTTCTTGTCCCCGAAATATACATTAATAATTTTTTATGAATTCTCAAAAATATCTTGTTTTAAAAAACTAGTTTTATGAACTTTCTAAACATTATAAACCGTTTTAAAAACTGAGTTTTAACATTATTCTGTTAAATCCTGTTCTGGTTATTAACCTACACTGAATGGCTTCCGAAAATTTTTATCATTTTATTTCCTATAAATAAATATTCCAGAGTACCGATTTTATTCTTGCGTCTTTTTTAAAAGCAAGGCATGGCGATATCGTTCAAAATCCTCTGTATCCAGACTGCAAACTTGTAAAAGAAATTTTAAAAAAGTATATCCTTGAAGTTTTTCGAATATTACTTCATAGTGCCACTTATTTTATAACAGTTTGTTTTTTGTAAACCAAAGAAAACTGCAAGATGAAAATGAAAATCTATTTTTCTCGATACGCGTATAATTTAGAATTTCCTACGAAGCTAATTATCATAAACTACCCGTAGGTGAATTTTATACGCTTCAATTTGAGTTATTTAGGTTAAATAGTTCCAGACGAATATTCTTCCAAATAACAACATTCTTAAAAAAAAAAAATACTATAAACCAATATTTTTGGAATTTATTTATGAATTGTGAAGGAATTTACTCCTCCGAGGTTTCTTATAATTATTATCTTCGCTTTAGCAGTTGCAATGATAGTTGCTAAATAAAAACCCCAAAATGGTGCTAAATCATGTTTTAAAAAATGTATATTATTTCTTGAAAAACAGTTTTTTCTAGAACTTTGGAATTACGTCTTTTGGCTTTAGGATGTCGCTGAAGACGGATTTATGGAGATGAAGATGTTGCTTTTCATTTGTTACTTATACTTTTAAATTTTAAGTACAACTTTATGTGTCATGTTGAGTTGCTAAAGTTTTATTTTTGATTTGATTATTAAGAAAATAGGAGTAAAATAAGTATATGAAATTAGCCTATACCATGTTATTTCATTACCTATGACGAATCACTTCTCATCTAAAGGGAACAACTCCATTTTTGAAAGATTTATGGCTAAATTACATATTTACTAAAATGTTACTTTATAATTCGTGTATTTTTTTTAATCAATTTAAGAATTTTGTTTTATTCCTTTTTGTTAGTAAATGCCTCATGTGCACGGAACGTATGGTTCATTAATTCATAGTCTGTTCGATTCATCATTTTTTCAATAAGTAACAAATTTGAGGTTTGTATTTCGTACCACGATGGAATCCTTAATTAAAAAAAATTGCATCACGATCAAAAACTGAAACTTTTTTACGCGTAATTTTCAAAATTAGAAATAGATATATGAAATAAAAACGTATGAGAAATTTAATATATTAATCCATTGTAAATGCATAAAGTCTAAAGATAATCAGCAATATGTTTTTCCTATTTCACCCAAAAAATAAATTGTTTGATATATTATAGTCTAGAAATCCATGCAGAGACATTTTTTTCTCGGTTGCTAAGTCTAGTATATTTCGTCCTTGTATCACTACAAAAAAATCATTGAAATCGTTGACTCTACATAAGGAATCTCCCTCTGTTAGTCTTCTTTAATAAACGGTTTATATATCATAAACATATTTTAAAACTGAAATGGTAGTTGCTGAAATTAGCGAGTTTGTAGCAACAGAAGCTTTCCTTTTACAGGATACTTTGTCAAAATTAACTTTATTTTTAATTCACCTTAACCCCCCAGCCACAGGGGCAGTTGGTTGCTGCACTATCATCTTCATCAAGATAATTCTGTGATGACACTACTCCCACCAGCACCAGTCCGAGTAAGAGGCGTTGCATTTCGCTAATCTGGAACATATTCCCTATAATGAATTTCTAAATATCCTTAAAATATATTGAAAGTAATTATTTAAATTATAATGTTTACAAAACATAAATCAATATACTTGGATTTATAGAAAATATATTCTTTACTTAATATCTTACACAATATTATAAAATTTACTGTATCGTGAAACGCTCAAAACGTAAACCATTGTTTAGTTTTTCATTAAAGAAAATAGCTGGGTAATGTGGTGTGAATACTGCCTAGAGTACGATTCCCAAACGCCTGTTGGAGGATCGTCATAGTGAAAGACGTGGCAGAGTAAGATCACGCCTGAAGCTGGGTGTTACAGGCTCCACACTCCTGTCAAATCGATATGTTCTGCGCTACGAGCGTGTAGTATGTTCGCGAACATACAGAATGCTCCGATGGCTGTCGATTTTTTTCTCAAATAAAAGGAGAGCAGAGGAACTCTGTGGACTTCATTTATTGTCCACGTTGTAAACACTTGTCTGAAACATTGACATGAACACTTACCTTCAAGGCGGACATTGCGGGATGGAGTGGATGGACGAAAAATGTCTTTCGCTGATTGATCTATATAAAAAATATCCTATACTGTGGAATCCTAGAGACTCAAATTATATTTAAAAAAATTAAGCGAGTGCTTTAGACTACACGATAGAAGTGAAAACATCAACAAGGTGAGATTAATAATATGGAATATAAATTATAAATAATAGCTCGCTAAAAAGAGAATGAAATGATGAAAATTTCCCTCGCTTACTATACGCAGTTCCGATTTTTAGTTTTAAGATATTTTAATATTTTAATCTATATCTTCCTTAAAACTAGTTATAATTTGGTTTTCGACACTATTTTTTCCTTTTCACCTCTCTGACACGGACTTTATTTTATTTATTCTTCTAAATTTACATTGCAGCAAGTATATAACAATATTTTTTTAATCTATATTTCTGCACTTACATCTTTCAGAAATATAGATTAAAAATTACATGTAATTGTAATACTTTTATTTATTTTTTACTTCCTCACTACCGAAGGTAGAGAAACATTGTATTCGTGTTAAAAAAAAATTGTGCTCAGATTTCAAAATTTCCACTAGCGTTTTACGTTTCAGACAACAAGGATCAAATTTGGTTCGGTGTCTGTCTATCTGTCTGTAGTCAAATCGATGTGACGGGCATATCATCAAGTACCGGTTATCCGATTTTCATGAATATTCCGGGGATTGTGGGGAGTTGGTGTCTGGATGGTCTCATATAATTTTTATCAAATTCCATTTAGCATCCGCTTACGCAAGCACAAACATATTTTTTTTTTTAGATATGCCAATATTTCAAAAACGGCTCGATCAATTTTGTTTAAAGTTGGTTAAAGGGTAAATATTAGTTAAAAAATAATGTAGTGTCAATTTCATGGAATTCTGTCCACTGCTTTTTATTATATATACGCAAAAATGTTTCTTTGATACTTCTATATCTCTAAAACCGCACATCCGATTTTAGGAGGAAATTTGGAGGAAATTCGGAGAATGGCATAGAAATTACATAGTATCAATTTCAGTGAACTTCATTTAATAATTAAAATTAATATAAATCATTGTTAACAATATAATGGCCGTGATATGTGGATGACATTGATCATATGGAGCGGGAGTTAAGTTAAGACAATATTTATATGGGGTTATACAATTTTAGGTTTTATTAAAAAAAATAATTAATACTGTAATGTTTGGTCGGTTTCAAACTTTACTGGCATGACACTTACTGTCGTTATTATATTTCGTGTAATTTTAAATTAATTTTTACTTGAGTTAAAAGCCTGTAAAATAGAAAGCCTTATTTGTGATTGTGTTTTTTTTTCAGTTAAAGTTTAACAAGCTCGTCGTGGTCTCGATTTCCTCCTGATATATCAAAGTTGTTTGAACTTCACGCATATTTTTATAATCCAGCCTAATTAGTTTTCTTCTGACTGAAGAAATGCATTGGTCTCGTTAATCCCGAACAAAAAGTTGAATTTTTCCTATGGATTTTTTTGTTCCTTCCATGTTACGAGCGAAAACATACCAATTAAGTATATATGCACTACTCTTAATGCAAAAGGTCGTATGTTGAAATTTTCAACTTTTATTCTATTTGTGCTAAAGTTGACATTTTTTGGTCTGCAACTGATATAAGCAGTCTAATATGATGAAAAATAGCATATGACAATAAAATATGAAGTTATACTAATAAATAATAAAGAAACAATTAGTTTCATGTTCTTCTGTAAAACATTCAACTTTTACATACGACCTTTTGTCCTGAAAGTAGTGATATTCATGTTCAGTAAGCACTGGAATTTTTTTTTTTTTTATCACGAATCATTAAATATACAATCTGCAAATGCGGACCTCTTTATTGTTCGCTGAAGAACAAAATTCGTGGATATCATACCTGTATATGCTGAGAGATTACTGAATTTCCTAATACGGCTTCTCCGAGATATTTATTCCCAAACGAAAAATTGTACCTTGTAATATAGATATTTTTTAGCCAATAAAACGGTGAGGAAGCTATACTGACCTTACTTGGCAGACGTTTTTTTTTTTTTTTTTGCTTACATAATAAACGAGATTTTAGTGTTAAATGTAATATTTTAGGGAACTTTGGAAAATTGTTCCTGGAGTCCGTGGTTTCTCTCCGTGCCTTTGGGTTATGCCATCCCAGAACTAGAGGTTCCGCAAATGATTGGTACCGATATACCCACTGATAGTCAGACCAACTATTCCTATGATTTGCGTGAATGTAACACCGGTAAATTGTGAAGTAGAGAAGTGGTTAGAGGATTGGGTTATTTGTTAGACTTCCAACATATACAATGTGCCTCAATCTCAAATTTAAGGCTTTATTGTAATAATTGAAATTGTAATAATAATGGATTATTCTAAGGGTTATATTAAGAAATTCTGTTCACTATTGATTTCAGAATAAATAAAGTAACAAATAACTATCCAATCTTGACGCATTATAAAAACTATGTTTTTTAAAATTTTCTGAGAAATACCATTCTATCAAATTTAAGTTAATTAAACAAATAGACTAACTTAATAAATATATATTTTTATATAGTGGAAATTACAACGTTAACATTTGGAGATACCAAAATTGTCACTATTATAGCCAGAGGAGAAGGGTTGGCCCTTTTATAGTGCAGGACCCCTTTGTGTGTTCCAGAAATTAAAAAGTTAACACCCCACAAAATATCCGACAAGTAGATTTTAATTTTCCTGAATATTGGTTTTAATAACCTGAATTTGTTGAAATGAGAAAGGGATATATTTTTATAGAGACATTTTTAATTATATATTGATTGTTCGTTCTTTTCAAGTGATTAACTATATTTAAAAAAAAATAAATGGTGTGCCCACTCACATTACTTTCCTACCTATTTCAGAAAAGTTTTTATATCTTTATATATGTTCATGAAGAAACAAAAAAGAATTGAACTAGATACATTTTCCTGAAAATTGATCAAACATAAGATTTGAGTACGATTTATTTGATAAACTAAAGCAATCCAAACTGACTTAAGGTAGATCAATGTAAAAAACTCAATACTTGCTAATATTGCTGATCAAAACCTTTTTGCCATAGCTTAGCATTGTCAAACAATGATTTCTGTTAAAAGTAGAAGAAATAGTGAAGATTGTGTGATGCGGGCAACAGATTTTCTTACTTTCACTTAGTCATCTTTATTCTCTCTTTCACCCCTTCCGACACCACGATATGAAAACGTAATTTTACATTTGAAATTGAATAGCTGTAACTTCGTTATTAATTGTCCAATAAGAACGATTTGTATATGGCTTTGTAGGGAATTTCATTACCTTTCAAACGACAGGCGTATATTATGAATTTGACCGCATAATATATACTTAGGGAACTAGGCCCCATTACATTTTTCTTTTCTTTATAAATTTTTTTCCTGAATTTTTTCGGTAATTTAGTCTATATACGAAAATTGAAAGGACAGGGATTAGAACATTATAGGAAAGTTTCATCAAAATCGTTAGAGCCGTTTTTGCGCTACAGTCTATAGAAAAACATGTTTTTCATTTATTGCGCGCAAGCTATTGCGCATGGAGTACCGAATTTCTGTCACAGGCATCAAAGGACAGGCTAAACGGTTTTTGCTCTACAGTCTATAGAATTTTTTCGGGAATTTAGTCTAAATACGAAAATTGAAAGGACAGAAGTTAGAACATTATAGGAAAGTTTCATCAAAATCGTTAGAGCCGTTTTTGCGCTACAGTGGAAATGGAAAAACATGTTTTTCATTTATTGCTCGCAAGCTATTAGACAGACAGACAGACCAATGACAAAAAATGTGTTTTTCGGACTCAGGTGACTCTGAAACGTTTAGATCAGTCGAAAACCGCATGTCGGAAATTTGACCCGATTGTAATACTTTCCTTACCTAGTATAGGTTGGAAAGTAACAAGTACTTTACATAATATTTTAAATCGTAAGAATTTTTTTTTCTCATTTGGGAGGACTCAGAAAGGATTTGAACTACAATGACTTAGTAATAAACTTTTATTAACTAATTAACTAGTGACTAAAGATATTATAAATAAACGTGTAAACATTTTTCTGCAATTACCGACTTCTACTTACCTCTGCAAAAGAACGACTGAAGACCAAGATCATGCCGATCTCCTTATATACGAGTTAACAGCTAACCCACCGACTCATAAGTCGCTAATTATATTCCATCAATAATGCAAAGAATTTAAAATAAGCCTAAGTTAACCAACGGTTTTCGGGATCTCCATTTGATTTGACTGGTCATTGTTTTAAAGAAAGAGTAGAGATGATAAGTTGTGAATCTTTCTAAGCAAATAACTTATATCCTCTGGGTAATCATCGATAGTTTTATCGATTTCACGGTTCAAGTGGCGCTACAGTTCGCTTCGAGAGAGGCGTTGATATATTCCTCGGCACGAAGCATCGGCACAGCTCGGGAGTAAACAGGAACACGATCGAGATCCAAAATATTTTTCTCTTCTTTTGTCTTTTGGATCAACGACTTCGAATGTCCTTTATCCTCAGCGTTTTGTTCTCCTCGCTATTCTTGACAACCGGTACAATTTTATTGATATGACAGTAACAATAAACACAAAATTATCTATTTATTTATTTATCTATTTTTTTTATTTAGACATATAATATTCTGTCTCATGGACAATGATTATAGTGATAAATGAACCATATATACATATATATTCACACCATATATACAGAAAATATAAAATTAACAAAAGTAAACTAAATAATAATAAAAAAAAACTTTGTACAATAAAAAATAAAATAACCTAAAAATAAGTAAATTAAAAACATAAAACACACAGTCATACCTATATACAATATATACAATCAGGCAGGGAACCCAAAGCCAGGCTTCTCTCTCCACTATAGAAGGAAAAGCAGCTCTAACTATCTAACTACTCTCTCAACCAATTCACTGGTGATGCAGCTCATGATTATCTAAGCTCAATAAAAATATTTATTTTGAAACCGTTGGTCAAGAAGTATTATAAATATTATACTAAAACCTATAATTGACCATAACATTATAATTTACAATATTAGGGTAGTTCTATACGAAACCTAAATATTCATAATCGCTTTTTTAATTTATTTTGGCTATGTAACTAATAAATGCTGAAATATATTAAAAACACAACCCCATAATATATAAATATAAATACACAATACAATATAACTTCAATTTTATAATATAAACACATAATACAATAAAATACAACTATAATATATAAATACATAATCATTATGATTTTTCAAGGTAAATATTATAATATTATAAGATAACTAATAATTGAATTCCTGGCATAAGATATATCAGTATTGCCCGGTTACTATTGCAATAATCTGCAAGACTTACCCAATTTTCGCCATGCCAATATGCAATTATTTTCAAAACGACACGATGTATTTTTCGAAATATTTTCGCCTAAGCTCTGCTAGTATAGGACATATTTTTCCATTAATTTATTTTGCACAATGAACATAATTTATTATTCCTTTCACATTGTATTATTATAACACATAGAAATAATTTTTTCCTGGTATATAGGAAGAAGAAAGAAAAGTAAACTTTCTTAAAAAGAGACATTTAGTCCTCTTAGAATTACTACAATGAACAACGAAATTACATTATAATTCAATTAAAAATAAATTAATTTACAAAGTTATCTAATAACCATGATACGGACATAACCATGATATTAAAATCAAGAAAAGTCACAAATAGACATACGAAATTGAAGACAAATACATACGAGTGAGTTCACGTATTTGTATAAATAGGAAATAAGAATAATACATAGATATATGCAAGATATAAATAAAATGTGGCTGACATCTCTAAAGTACAAAATAACATTATTTTTACATATAATCGGAAGATTAATTACTGAGGAGATGGAAAAATAAGAATTGTTTAAATGGGGGCAAGGATGAAGTTTTCCGTATGGAGGTTGGTGAGGAATTCCAAAACGAGGTAGCACGTATGAAGAAGGATTTTTTAAATAAAAAAGACCTCCACCATGAGCTCGGGAAGGAATTCGAAAATTCAAATAAATCGAAACAAAGTGGCATTGTCATAAAATGCACATCAGTATCGAAAACTAGAGCTCCTAAAACATATAAGAAGACTCTTATATGGAAGAAATTCAAAAGAGGCAAAACGCGGTGGCGTACTCTTAAAATGGACACCATTTTCAAAAACTACTGCTTCGAAAACATATAAGGGCCTTTATAATATTATTTGACCGTTTGATGTCCCCGGTATTTACAGTCATTTCTTACATTCCTTTTCAGGTTGAAAACAAAAGTAATGGTATCAATTTTGCGTATTGTTTTTAAAGAATGGAGGAATGGTGACATTAAATAAATCTACCTCAATCACAAGAAGAAATATCTCAATGTAATGTAAAAAAACGTAACGACTGTTACTGTTCCCAAGGTGAGAATGTGTAATTATTCACGCTTTGATATGACATAATCATTAACTATTAATATTTAACCGTTTTTAAAAACTACGGCCGAAAACATAAAAATAGACCCTTATATGATAGAAAGCCGGAAAATTGAAATAAGTCAAAATGCAACCGCGTAATCATAAAATGGAGATTATTTTTAAAAAATCATGCCTGCTAAAAACATATTAAACTGTATATGAAAATTTTAAATAGATGTATATATAATAACGTAAGATAAGAAAGATACAACGTGATATTGATATAATTTAAAAAAGAAATCAGAAATTTATTTGCAGTGAGTTAAACAATTAGGAGTCTATATTTAGCAATATTTATGTAATTAGAACTATGGCACATCTATCAATATAATTTATATATTTAGCTATATGATACTTGAAACTATAATTTATAATAGGCAAGTACTCTGGCATTTGCCCGTCCCTGCCCTCAGACATAAGCCAACATTTTTCGACCTGGTATATCATCAAATTTATTATGCATTAGAATTCGTTTAACACTATTAGAAATATTTATTTATTTGGTATTTTGTTGCCTCTACCCTGTAGGGTCATTGGCAACGCCTTTAAATTACACTCCGTTGCAGAGTTTTATCACTTTCGTTAACGATTTCGTCAGGGTCAGTTATAAAGTCTTGTCCACTCTTTATACCAGGCAATTTCTTTGTTTTGGAGATCCCCTTAATGCTTTTCACTTTATTCCAGAGCTCCTTCATTGAAATGCTTTGATTTAATGAAGATACGAAGTCTTCCCATGACGATCTTTTGCTTTTTGGTATATATCGTAATCTTATCTCACTGTTTGAGTTTCTTGTAAGTGTGTTTCTTGGAGACAAACTAGTATAGGGTTCTCTTCGCTTATTGTCACTTTTAGGTGCTCTAAATGTCGGAAAAATCTGTTACAATTCCATTGAATAATTGTTTTCATTTTGATTGGCAAAGTGTTTCTTATTTTCCATATTATTATTATCACCATGTGTTATTTTTAAATGCTCGGTAGTGTTCAAGGAGTGCTCATTCAAAATCTTTATTAGTTTTGAGGTTCTGATTTTTAGCCCTCTATGTGATACTGTGTCTCTGATATCTGAGAGCATTGTTTTCAGACCGTTTACATTGTTTGTGAACTGAGACATGATCTCAGTAGCGTTTGTTTCATTTTCTCTCTGAGTCATGTCGAGTAATAGGCATATTTTTTCGTAAGTGAGAGGGTAAGTGTTTTTGTTGTTTAAGATCATGGTTCGCACGGGTCCAAGTATTTTTTCAGTGGGATTTCTGGTCTTCTTTGTTTTAATATTTGAGCCGGCCTTGCACTTTTTCGCAGGTAATGATACTATATCTCTAGTTTGTGAACGTTGTTGGTTTTTGATGATCCCTTGATTCTGTGATAAGTATGGTTTGGATTTGAATGGGGTTGTAATAGTGATGTTATTCCGTTTTTGTTTCTGGCCATCATCCTGCATATATTTCTCAGTGTCAGATGTACCTATCAATGTTTCCTTGTCAGTACATTTATTAGTCGGTGTTTTCTCGTCAGTATGTTTGTCAATAGGTGTTTTCTCGTCAGTATATTTATTAATAGGTGGATTGTCATCAATGGTTACCTGCCTATTACTATACTCCAAGTCGCCTGGTGTATTAGACTCAATGACTACAGCATCAATCCTAGCCTCTTTCTTCAAACTACCCTCTAAATCAACTGTGCTTGAGCATGGCTCGATCTCAGTTGATTGGAGCGTGTGCTCAATATTTACCGGATTATACCCTTCCGGCAATTCTTTTTCCAAACATTTCGCTGCAAAATGTCTCGGTTTCTTGCAGATGTAACAGACTATAACATCTTCAGCAAGAAAAATCCGGTAATTGATTCCCTGATAAGAAAAGGCGACCGTGCTACTTAACTTAGTTATATCATCCGCCTCTATAAATACCTGTCGTCGGAACGTTAGTACATGGCTCAGGTTTTTTTCCTTATACCCGAAGCGTAAGAAAGTTATTGGTGATAATAGCCTAATCCCTAGCTTCTGGATGTCTTCTTCCAAAATTGTTTGAGGTATACTGGGGCAAGCACCGGAAATAATGATCCTCTTTCCTGGATCAACCAGTCGTTTAATTGGTATCTTATGATCTCCTATCGTCATACAGGAATGCTTCATTAGAAGCATATCAACTTGATCCTTACTACTCAAATGAAAGCAAAATCTATTTCCAGAAATTCGAGAGGCATACCTAATGTGACTGGGTTCCATTATCTCAGCGAGTGCTTCGATATACTGTTTCTGCTTCACACCGTTAACAGTAGGAACAATAATAGCATACTCACGGTCAGAGCTCTGTTGGTATGACGCCACTTTGGCATAGGTAGGACCAGGTTGCTTAACTTCCCAGTTTACAGCCTTATTGGAGACTTCCATTTTTCCTGCTTGAGTGTTCTGGAGTAGTCCACACACCTCAGCATTCCTTACGCGCCTGGATCATGTTGAAGTCCTTCCTTTACCGAGCCTTGCACTTAAAGTTCCAGCCCTGACAGATTCTTTCCTGCAAAAACTTTCCTGTTAATGAGCAGGAGTGTTACGATCGGCAACTGGAGTTGAATTTCCTTAGTCGTTGGAAACCGCCGTCTGATAGTTTTTCAATTTCCTCAAAATTTACGTCTACGCTGGAGCATTCGATTTTTTTTTTAAATGTTATAACTTCAACTTGGTTCCACCCTTCCACTCGAAAATAAAGCATGGATATAGAATCCTATAAAATAATATCGATTTTAATACGTTTCTTTTCAACATGGACGACATCGATGATACTACTAATATACTACGATCATACTATTTAAGTGATTTTATGACAAGAATTATAGAATTACTTCAAGCCAAGATAGTCGCCGTGAAGAGAAAACCTAAACTGGATGCGCGAGGAGTTGGTGAGGTTTTTATGAGGAACCATTGATTCCTATTTTTTAAAACTTTTAATTTAAGAGTTACATTTACTTTACGTTTTTAAAAATATGTTTTTAACTCTTTTATTGGAAGAAGAGGATTGTTTGAAGGGTTATTAAGTAAAGTGGGATGAATTTCAGGACTGGTATTAATACGTAGTCCAATAGGGAAGTGAAGCAGATTTTATAGACTGCATGAGAGGGTATTAGAAATATAAGTAAATAATACCTTACTCTGTTTCGAATGGAGGGGATTAGAGGGAGGAGGGCTGGTAGGGCTTTAAATTTTTGCTGGAATTTGTACTGGAATTGATGGAAGAAAACTGGTCCAATATTAGTGCTTTAGTTGTACATCGGGAGATATATTGTATTGCAATAAAAAAATGTGCTGCGCGCAACACACAACTTTCACTTACCTCTCTACTTTGAATAGAAATAATTTTCTGGCAATGTTGAGCAATTATAAAATTTTTAAAGTGCACTTTTAACAGAGCTATAGCTTAAAGCTTACAGCTAATAAATTATCTACACCACTAAAATAACAAAAACTCTGTTAATTATATCAACACTAGACAATAAAAAACTCAATACTCCTTCCGGTTTTGTAAACCACTTAACTCCAGTCTCTGAGCATTATATATATGTATATATATAATCATGTGAATCTTGTATTCGTAAGTCCTGTCTTTGTTTCTTATTAAACACATTTTATGAAAGCCAACCAAAACGAGTTACTGTAACCATGTTTATGTCGTTGTTTATTACGCGATTTGAAATATAAAAGGTTACTTACAATTTTTCGAAGAGTTTTAGGTTGTTCGATTGTAATCATGTTTTCATGTGTTTGCAGTAATAAAACGGATTAAGTTAACTGTACTCCTTTTGTCATTCAAGAAATCGATACTTTATTTATTTTATTTTTGAAAGTATATTTCTATACGAGATTTTCATTGCCTGTCAAAGATAGGCCAAAAGTTGGCATAACAATTTTAAGTGGATAATGTTTCACAAAGGGAAAATTTATCAAATTATTCACTAATTGAATTTTCAAGAGGTGACATGATTTAATTTTTTGGAATAAACGGACGTTGATGCCTAATTATTAAAATAAATATTAAAACAAGTTTAAATTTAGTTTTTAAATTTAATTTAAATTGTGATTTCCATTTAATAAAATTAGTTTTCACAAATAATTATTTATATAATTTTTCGTCACTCTCCATTACCTTTCAAGGACTTTCTATATGAGATATTGTTTTTTCCAAAATTCTCCGCTTTCCAATGATATATTATCCATATACCCTTTGACTAGTATTTCCAGAAATTCATTTTCGACCTAAATAAATTACCAATCTCCATTTTTTAATTATCAAATCCTTTTAAATGTTATATTTAGAATTTGTTGGTAACTCTTAATAATAAAAGATAATAATAATTATCTCTAATAATAATGTATAATAATAATAAACCAAATTAAATGTACTTTAGAGGAAGACATTTTGGAGATTTAAACCCTGTACAGTGACATCAATGGGGATAAGGATTAATTATACAATAATACACCGAGTTTAATCAAATTCGTTAGAGCCGTTTTTGAGAAAATTGTAAAAATGTGTATTACCGTTGATTTAAAGTGCCACTTCTTGCCAGTCGATTCTAACGAAAACGTTGCTATCACATATTAAATACGTAATATCAGTTTCTTACGACTTTTTGTTTTTGAGCTAGACTGATCACAAACATACAAGCACACACGAACACAGACTGTAACATGGCAACGCTTATTCATATAAAATGTGACTGTAAAAAGTCACTTGTCTTCGTTCTCTCATAGAGTATTTATTTTGTGATGCCGTATACGATGCCGTAATGCGATTGAGGATACCAAAGAAAATTGCTTGAAAAGTCCAAGGAGGGGCTTTCTGTCGTATTGTACCGGGGATAATCTCTCATTTTGGTCCAAGTTTGCCAAGAATAATCTCATATTTTGAACCAAGGTGCCGGGGTTAATCTTGTATTTTGAACCTAGTCTACCAGGGATAATAATGGATATTCTCTCGCCCACGATCATCTCCTATCATTTAGACGTCGGTGTAGAGAGATTGATGTCCAAATTGTATTACAATATCAGTAAATCGAGATATAATAGGCAACTGTATCTGCTACTGGACTGGAATTAGCTGAAGTTATTACTTTTAATTATTTTGCCTTTTTTTTTTATATATATCTTCTTGTTTGTGATACACATGTACTTATTCTGTTTATAATATTAAAGGAGCATTTTATTTTGTTTGTACTGAAAGTGTCTTCTATTATATTTACATTTTTTTATTAATATATATATATATATATATATATATATATATATATATATATATATATATATATATACATTTTTTTATCTAACGTATGATAATAAAATTATATTAACTATTAATGTTAATATGGTCATAACACGTACACACAGACCATTTTGCGGGGTTTGTTATTTAGACTGAGAGGACCCCAAAACGTGTATTTCCTTTGAAAAAACAGATTCGAAAATTTCCTCAATACTCAATACTTTCCCTTAATATATATTACAGACATAGGTATGTGTGACAGTGAAAAAATATAATTTATTCTAATATTTAACTTTAACGGTATATGACAGTAAAAAAATATAATTTATTTTAATATTTAACTTTAACGATGTTCTATTATTGATTTGAAGCCACTTGCATGACACTTTGTGCCGTTACTTAGATTTAATATCGTTTTCAGAGACTGGGAGTGTTGAAATCTTAGATGGTCTAATGGATTTTTCACCGTATCTCGGCCACTTTTTTCGCATACCTATGCGTTTTTTCTTGACTGGACTATATATGCAGTGTAATTCTTTAACATTCGCCAGTGTTATTTAACAAACAAAATCATGTGAATCTTGTATTCGTAATTCCTGCCTTTGTTTCTTATTAAACACATTTTATGAAAGCCAACCAAAACGAGTTACTGTAACAATGTTTATGTCGTTGTTTTTTATAAATTTTATTTTAAAATAAATACCAAAAATATTACAATCTTCATTTTGATTTTTAAAAAAAGTTTTTTAACTGTAATGATTGCGGTTGCCTCTGCAGAAATTTCAGGTAAAATTTTAAAAACATCACAAAAAATGGTCTAATATACAATTCTGCATATTCCTGTGAGCTTACTAAACCGTACCGACTTTCTCTTGTATGTATTTACAACTAGATATGTGTTCTTTATGCAATATTAATTTGACATACATATTATTTATAACATTAACTTTTGACTGCATCTCATGGGTAGATATAGTTTCAACCATAGAAAATATAAATTTTATTATTAAATTAAAAAACATAACGTTTAAAATACAAGACGAATGTACAAGTTAATCAAGAAAAAGGTGAAATGTAATTTTTTATTTCATTTTAAAATAAAACTAGATCTTTGCAGCAAAACAATAACATACATGACAAATAACATGTTGTTTTTAAGATGCTGTCGCATTCATCTTCTGACACGTAGTTCCGGGTTTTCCGCTTTCTGAAAATAAAGTAATATTTTAATCATTGTTATAAATATTTAGGACATTTAATTCTTCCACAGAGCTCACTTACATATAAAGAGGTAAAACAAAAACAGGAAAGGCTATAACAATGTTAAACTAAGAATGCAAATAAAATATTTGTTGGATAAATAAATTTTACCTGATATTGCAGTTTGTATCCAGTTCAAATAGTGGGATACATCAGTGTTGACAGAAGGCCTTGCTCCACAATTCTTGCTACCGTATGATACTAAAGCAATCAGCGTCAGTCTGTTGGTTTCAGGGTCCAACCAGACGAGTGGGCCTCCAGAATCTCCCTGTAGAATATGCATATATCACATGCCACAGGTATTTATGAAAAAAATGCCATTTACCTATATATGTAATATATAATAAGGTAAAGTATTGCAATCGTGAAAATTTTCGAATCGACGGAAATACTCGTTTTGAGGTCTCCTGAGTCCAAATAACCAAGTCACGCAAAATGGTATGTGCGTATCTAGCTCTAGAACGAAAAGTCCTACGAAACTGATATTACGTATTTAAGATAGGCATATGCCTTAGCTATGACAACTTTTTCCTTTAAATCAGCTAACCGGAAGGGACACTTTATATCAACCGTGAAACACATTTTTACAATTTTCTCAAAATCGGCTCTAACGATTTTAATTGTGTCGTTGTATAATAGGTGTATCATTGTATAATTAATTGTTTATTAATATCATTTTTAAGTCTTATCCCCCATTGACGTCACTTTAGAGAGCTTAAATGCCCAATCTTCATATCGTTGGAAAGCGGAGAATTTTAGAAACAATAATATCTAATATAGAAAATAGTTGAAAGTAAAGAAGAGTGACGAAAATAACATAAAATATAATTTCAGAAAACTAGCTTCCGAGGAAATTAAATGGAATTTCTTACTAAATTTTCAATTTTTTCCTAAGTTTGAAAAAAAAGTATTCAAAATCCCCCGAATCAAGACAATGCCATTGTTTAAAATACTATTTAATTGTACTTGTTTGAAAGAAGAAGTGAAATATAGAAATATTTCGTGGATATGTTTTACAACCTTACATACTTTTGCTGTAGTTTAATAACACTAGATATTATATTTAAATAATTAGGTATATATTAGCATTTTAATCCAAAAAACATCAAGTAACCTTTTGAACTATCTATGGGAGGCAATGAAAATCTACTAATTTCATTTTAGTAAACTTTACAGTGAAAAATAACAGTTTAATAACTAATAGTCCTACAATCCATAATCATTTATAGGTTAAATATTCAGATATATTTTTAAATCCCTCTAGGCATGTATGAGCATTTTGATTGGGAGAATGACTAACTCCAATTTCAACATTGTTTATTATTAATTTTAGTGTTATTTCTAGTGGCAAAATTTCTACCTTTATGAACAGTTCTATATTTCAACACTGCTTTCACCTACTCTGGAATCAACTTACTCACTGTCAGTATATATATCACTTTTCCAACTAGAAATATCACTAAAATGACATTGCTAAAAAATATTTGGATTGGGGTTAGTCATTATGTCAACTGAAAGGTTCAGAGATTGAATGTGTGTGGTTTATAAAAGCAGATGGAGTAACTAGATTTTTATTGCCTACCGTCGATGTAATAAATATAATTTTTGTAATTTTAATGGTCCTAACGATTTGTTATCTGTAAGCTTTAAGCATTTGCTCCGTTTAAAATGCACTTCAAAAATTGTATAGTAGCCCAACATTGCCAGAAAATAATTTATATTCAAAGTTTAGCGGTAAGTGAAAGTTGTGTGTTGTGCGCACCAGATTTTTATTCATGTTTACATAAATTTGTACCCAGAAATTGAAAAAAAAATGTTGACTAGTAATGTGATCTACACAAAATTAAATATAATGAAAAAGTATTGTAACAATGAATTTTGATATTGATACTACTTTTTAATTTTTTTAACTTTAAATTTTATTTTATTTTAGAAGTCCTTAAATTAAAATTAATTTATTACATTTTCATTCATAAAAACATCTGACAACGTTACAGATTTTTTTCAACATAATATCTATTTTTGTTAATTTATACAATACACTAAAGTATTTAAGTATTTAATTATGATATTTTTCTAAAACTTGAAAGATCTAATGTTATAATCCTAGTTTAAAGTTTAAAATAACTGACGCATAGTAGACGTCACAAATGACGTACTCTCCAAGGATACAGACATCTAAACTATTTCAATCACTGTCATGCTAAGATTGACAGTGATAATCGAATACAAAACAATTATTACTAATCGTTTGAATGTTGTATTCATTATGTAGCTGTATGCCAATTTTTTTTTCTATCGAAAGTAATACTGTATTCACAATTCACACCTCTCAGATTTCCTCTTCCCAAGCCATAATCAAATCCTTAGATGACCTTTTTCCTTCGGACCATGGTCCAGTTCTGCTTTTACTACACTAAAACTTTGCTTCTAAAACCTTACATCCTACATTGATTACAGGACAAGTTAACTGGGACAGATTTCGTGATGAATTGGAGAATAAACTAGACTTGAAAATTCCGCTATAGACAAAACAAGATTTGATGATGCCATAGACAAACTTACTGTATCAATAACAGCTAGCATTAATAAAAACACCTATACCACTAAGATGAACAATTCACAACAGACTAATTTGCTATAGCATATTCATTTCTTATTAAATGAAAAAAAGAGAGTAAGATCGAAGTGGCATAGAGTTAGATATACTGCAGATAAAACTCATTACACCCAACTAACAAACTAAAATCAGAAGTTAGAAAATACAAAATTCAAAATTTCTATCGTATCCAATCTTTACAATCCAAAATCCTTCATGAAATTCTTAATGCTCCTTAATTTGTAAGAAATAAAATAATCCATAATGACTTTTATGTTCGATATGTTTCCGTTTGGTCCAATCCAGATACCTATCCTTCCATAATAAACTTCATAACCATCCGAATTCTCTTGTTTCTAACCTAGATTCCTCTTCGATGCCTGATAACCCTCTGAGCCCTCTGAAAAGAAGATGGTCTCCTGATCTCCATATGTAGGCATATTAGAGTGCTGTCGGTGGGTAGTTTCTCAACAAGCGTTTACATGCGATTCCATGAGTACACTTTCGCTCGATATATTTATATTGTAATACAGTTGTAAATATGAATAAATAGTTTTAAAAAAAAGAATTATTTCTATTAAAAACTTAGGAATGTTATTTATTCTTCAGAAACTTTTTGAATTAAGCTTTCTATTTTTTTGTTAAATTTAGAAGACAAAATTAAATATTTTCATCATCAGACAATGATATACATATATAAATATCTAGAATTTTAGCACCATACCTATGAGGTTGTTTAATAACCTCCTATTTTAATGAATATTCTCTTCATTCCTTAGGGGTAAACTTTATGAAATTTATCTCATTAACAATGTATTTTCTTTACCTGTAAGTAAAGAAAAAGTAGTACAAAGGTTTTGGATGTAGTTTCATTAATTTCTCAAAGGGTTTGTCTTGCAATAGCTTTCGACCTTTATTTTGGTTTAGATTAAAGATGAGCTGAAGTAGATTCTCTTCATAGGTTGCGAGGTAGAGGAACAAGAAATGTCATTAGTAAATTATTTTCTCTCTAGTATTCTCTTGTACTTACTTTTCATGAAAGAACTCCTTGAAATCTTTTAGTTCTCACTGAATAATTTCTTTTTAATTTTTTAAATGATATTGATTAAAGTAATGTAAATTGCATTTCACAGTTGCCTTATTCTGAAGTTTAAAAATCTGGTGCGCGCATTACACGACTTTCACTTGCCACCCTCTTGTTAGCAGAAATAAGTATTTTCAGACAAAGAGGACGAGAAATTAAAAATTACAGAGGTTATGTTTATTTAAATTTCTTTGTGGATGTTTTTATTTGTTTAATTACGCTTACATTTAAAAATTTTAATTTTTATATCGCTGTAATCTATACAATTAAATATTAAATCATACCAACGATAGCATTTATGAAAACCGCGTATGTGTATATATATATATGTATATATATAATATTGTCGACGTCCGTATTGTATTAAGCTCATGTTACGTATAGAAGCCTCTTCTAATCTTTAGGGCGAGTTCGGGCGAGTTCGGGCGAGCTCGTATTCCTTTGGTTATATTATAACTATTATTCTTTACGATCTCTTATTTCTTCATTATTTAATTATCAATTTTTTTCATATTTTATATTTAACTATTGTTTACATCAAAGAACAAAGAATTGTGTGAAATAGTTAATTATTTCAAATAAAAAATATTAAAGGTATTTTAGAGGAAGCTAATTCTTAAAATCAGCCATTTAAGCTCTATTAGAGAACGTTAAGGAGAACCTCTCTCGTTTTCAACTCAATCTACACGGACACACAAACAGTCTTATAAACGACATGGCCACGACTGACACACCCATCAGGAGGAGACTAAAAAGGAGCTGGGTGAGAGATCTTCTCACCTAAATCAACGACCAGGGAGAGGTGCTACTGGATTTTATCCTTCCTCATGCCTGTAATGTCAATCCTTATTTTATCACAATACATCTGCTGAGTGTCAAAACCAAGATTAGTGCGAATACATACTTAAACAGAAAAAAAAAAAAAAAAAACTTCGGCTATTTTTCCACATCTATATTATTCCACATATTTTTTAAATTTATGTTATTAGTTATAACAAAAAGTCTTTAAGTATAGAAATAAGAAAAATATTGTAGGGACAGTTTTAATGATTCAAAAATATAATGACCACAAAACTATTCAACATTTACCTTGATTTCAGCTTTAGTTACTTTAAAGTTAATTTCAAGCACTTTATATTCAGCAATCAAGATACGAAATTAACTGCTTGTGGATTATAAATGGAAATTAAATAACCAATAATTATTCGATGTGTAGTTTTTGATTAGAAATTCAAATGAAGCCACCCGTATTTGCCACACCTTAATTTGCATAGCATCCCACTTTTTAAGAGTTCAGATGTGTTCAGATGGAGATCGCATTATTCGATTCTAGAGATATTCGAAAGTATAATTTGGTTATAAAATAAATTTTATTATTATTATTTAATTTCCTTTAGACAGATATTAATGGAATTAAGCAAATCTTGTCTGTATTTGTTTATTAAATTTAATGTTTAGTGTTGTGTCTTATCGCCTGTTCAGTAAAGTTCAGTTTATATAGGAAGATTAAAGAAAGCATGTAAAAAGATTATTTGTGTCTTATTTTATGAACAGAAACGGAATATTGCGAATATGTCGTTTCGTTGATGTAACAATATATCTGATGCATAATAAATATAGTTGCACACAGGAAAATATAAAAAAATAAACTCATATGTTTCTGATGAATTAAAAATCAACTGAATTTCACAAATAAACAATATTTTATGCATGTATAAGTATTTCGATTATCGCAATCTTATTTTAATAAATGTTCGAAAATACCATCATTGACTTGTAAATCAATAAAATATAAAGAAATGAAAATTGGGTAAGAAAATATGATTTTTTTTTAAATTTTCAATTTCAAAATTTGAAATATAACCTTTAGTTGGGCTCGTTCCTTTCGAAACACTCTGTCTAATGTTATTCGTGGTCTCATTAAAGTTAGGACGAAATTGGGTTTGGCAATTGATTCGAATAGATTTGAAAAATAATACTTATAATTATTATCTTACCCTGCAGGTATCCTTATTTTTGCCAAATGTGCAAAGTTGTGATCTATTTGGGTTTAGTTTAAAAAGAGAATTGCAGGTTTTGTAAGCTATTACTTGCAAGTTGACCTGCCTCAGCACATTCGATCCTTCGCCTCCTGTCGCGGTCAAACCCCAACCTGAAATAAATAATTTAAAGTAATATAATGTACTCATAATTAATAACTAAGTTATTTGTTGCGAGTTCTAATGTATATATTAAATATTTTATTACTTCATTGTCCAGCAAAGAGTATAAAAACCTAAAAAAACTACAGACAATTTATGTTTTTACTTTCCTACCTATACTAGGTAAGAAAAGTATTGCAATCGGGTCAAATTTCCGACATGCGGTTTTCGACGGATCTATACGTTTCAGAGCCCCTTGAGTCCGAAAAACAGATTTTTAGCCATTGGTCAGTCTGTCTGTCTGTCTGTCTGTGCCAAGATTTCGGAAACTACTGAACCGATTTTGTTGCTTCTTTTTTGATTTTGTAGGGTTTTGACTACTGATACCTGTGACAGAAATTCGGGGCTCCATGTGTAATAGCTTGCGCTCAATAAATGAAAAAAACAAACATGTTTTATCATAGACTGTAGCGCTAAAACGGCTCTAACGATTTTGATGAAACTTTCCTATAATGTTCTAACCCCTGTCCTTTCAATGTTCGTATATAGACTAAATTCCCGAAAAAATTCAGAAAAAAAGTTATAAAGAAAAGAAAAATTTAATGGGTCATAAGTCCCTAAGTATATATGATGTGGTAAAATTTATAATACAACGGATCTAAACGTTTCGCCTGTCGTTTGAAAGGTAATGAAATTCCCTACAAAGCCATATACAAATCGTTCATTTTGGACAATTATTAACGAAGTTACAGCTATTAAATTTCCAATGTAAAATTACGTTTTCATATCGTGGTGTCGGAAAGGGGTGAATGAGAGAATAAAGATGACTAAGTGAAAGTAAAAAAATCTGATCGCATCACACAATCTTCACTATTTCCTCTACTTTTAACAGAAATCATTGTTTGACAATGCTAAGCTATGGCAAAAAGGTTTTGATCAGCAATATTAGGAAGTATTGAAATTTTTACACTGACCTACCTTAAGCCAATTTGCATTGCTTTAGTTTATCAAATCAATCGTACTCAAACATCTTAGGTTTGATCAATTTTCAGGAAAATGTATCTAGTTCAATTATTTTTTGTTTCTTCATGAACATATGTAAAGATATAAAAACTTTTCTGAAATAGGTAGGAAAGTCGTGTGAGTGGACAAACCAGATATTCTTTTTTATTCCATTGGTTTGGTGAATGGCTTACAGTCAATTAATTAGTTTTCTGTACTGCTTGTTGCCAACGTAACGGTGTTGAAATGGAGTGAGGGAACTGAAAAGGGGTCTGTAATATGTTTCACAGTATCGACAAATTTTATGTGGTGCCGTTTTATGATTTCCGGAACTGTCGGCAGCTCGAAGTATTAGTTCTTCTAGCTTCATATTATTTAATAATATATTTTCTTAATACACTGTCCTGAAACTGTTGTAGGTGACGCTGTGTTCCTTTACGGAGATATGTGATGAGCGGAGCACCATAAAGGAGTCCAAGTCTCAGAATGCTCTCATAAATTTTTATTTTCAGACGGAGGGAGAAAACGGGTGAAAGTAGTAGGTGGTGTATTTGTTACGAACTTCTCCGGGTCAACTGAGCCTTTTTGTAGTAACGGGCTAAGAAGGTCATGTGGCGGCCCATTCTGATCCTTAAGTAAACTATTGAGTTGGATGGTTTTAATGTTTTATCAGCCACTCGGAAAGATCGTGGTTGTCTGATGTTTATTCCTTTCTGCGAGACGAACTCAACGCAGTCCATCTTCGTCTGGTTGACTTGTGTATTTAATTTTTGTAATTCACTTCGTGACATCTAGTTTCGACCTGACATAGTGCAACGGTGGGGTTGGTGCTTCTGTAAATAGCAATATCGTCCACAAAAACGGCAATGGTTGCTTTGTTTTAATTATGACCTATTGTTTTTGCGATGTAGTTAAAGAAAAGAGTATAGGGAATAACACTGCTCCTTGTATTACTCCGCATTTGAGTGGTATTGTCCTGCACATTTGTTCACGAACCCACACAGCTAGGCTCCTTCCGTGTAAAAATGATACTATAATGCTACAGAGCTATTCTGGGCAATCGAGTTCTGCTAACTCATGTCATAATATGCCATGAGAGACAGAATCGAAGGGCTTCGTACAGGCTATCATGAAATCATGACTGTTGCTGAGTTCCTATTGAGTTCTCTGCAGATCTCTGCCTGTAGTTTTATGAGGTGTTATTCTGCGCTGAGGTGTCTTTGGAAACCAGTTTGTTCATGGAATTACTGAGTTGTTCTCACAAAACTCTCAAAGATAATTAAGAATAATTTTCTCGAATACTTTGGGAGGTGCGGTCGCAGACTAATGGGCCTGTAGTATTCCTCTTTATCCCCGGTCTTGGCTGGTTTCAGCAGTGGAAATAGGATGGTATGATTCCATTTCTCTGAGAAGTACCTCAGACGAAGACACTAGTTGTATATATGAGGTCAACTAATCCTATTCTTGGTAGTTGTTTTAGTAGGATTGTTTGGACCACTTTATGTCCCGGAGTCCGGTTTCTCGGGGTGGCCGAATGGACGAACGCGTATACACAGCACCACTAGTTCCTGGCAACCAGATAACCAAAGTTATGAGAGATTAAAAAAGTACGAGTTCGCGTACCGGTGACGGAGGGGATTTTAAATTCACCGCCCTCACCCCTCCCCTCCGGGCCCGGTAAAACGGCGAGATAGGGAAGAACAAAAAAATATGTATATAATTATTCACTTTCTCTCTCGTATTAAGGATGGATATCTCTGGTACTTTTTTGTATACCTTTTATTTATTTTTGTCCCAATCAGCTTCCTGATATCTATGTCTCTTTGTTTTTTATTCTTCTTGGCGTGAATGGATGGTGTATAGAATCGGGCGGTGGTCTGACGACATAGATTTCAGTGCAGAGCAGTTTGTGACTATGGGGCTATCTCGTGAGAAGATCTAAGGTAGAGGTGGCGGTATTTCTATTGTGTCGAAAGGTATGAGTGTCCAGGTGGACTACTGTAAAGGATGTTTTCGCCCTCTTGATCTTGCTTGACCCATTGGTAGAAGTGTAATGCAAGAAGCTATGACGAGCATACAAGTCCCCTACGACCTTTGATTTGTCTTATTCCCACAGAAATCCAATAGTTTCCCAAATTCTCGGAGTGACCCACGAAGTAAATATTGTCTTGTGAATGAATGTTGCTAATACACCATACTACTTTTGTTATTCTCCTGATAGTTTTTGCCTGATGAAAATTGAATTTAACGTGTTCGTGTCTTTTGAAGAGAATTTCCAAACTTATTTATGTAATTGTAGTTTTGCGATTTTGAAGCTCTTAAAATTTATTTAAATACCTGTCTTAGGTATAGAATATTCCTTCTTTATTTTTTTCTTGAAATGTGCACACCATGTCAGTCTTGTATTATTTATGAATTCGCTATTTGTTATTGTCTTACGTCGATTAATTTTTAAAATTTTCGTCATGATTGTGATAAAAGAAATATTGTCAAAAGTTGTATACCTCATAAGAAATTGAAAGCGAAATGTGCTGGTTGTGGGGATTTCATAATATAAATTTATGTGGATCCTAGTTCTAAACAGGATTATTTAGTCATCTTGTTTAAAAAGATATTGTCCGTTTAACAATTATTATGTTAATTATCACTCGTAATTTTTATGTGTATTAGATTAAAATTCAATTATAAAAAATAAAACTTACCCATTGCATTGACATATTGGCGCTCTAATTCCAGCTCCTCCGTGGGCAGACATGCAGGCCCTACGTTCACGTTGAAGCGGATCTCCTCTTTTAGTACCACCAAAGACACGTCATTAATATGAGGTATTCCATTTGAATCTAATTCTGAATAGTTTTCGTGGTCATGGAATCTCTCAACTGGTACCCATTGAGCTCTACTATCTAGTAACAAATATGTCTACATTTATAAGAAAAATAAGTTATTTATGAAAATGAAAACAAATTAATTTTAAAATGAAGAATTGAAAATTAAATTTAAATATTAAATAAGGTCTACATCGAAATAAAAAAAAAGTTATTAAAGAGTTTTAAATAAAATGAAGTATAATAAGTAATAATAATAAATTGGACTGTCTGCACATGGTAAGAATCTTAACTTTGAATCACCAACTCCTGAACATCATGAATCATTGGATCATGGAACGTACGTAGTTTATACAGACCAGGAGCCGTAAAGACAGTAGTCAAAGAAGAGATCTGGACACTAACTAGCACCCTAGAAAAAATGTTTGAAAGATTTGAGAGAAAATTCCTCCGCACGATAACCGGAGCGATCTGGGATTAGAGTACTAACACGTGGAAATGAAAATAAAAAAAGAAAATAAAGAATTGCTTACAGAAAATGGTTAATCAATATCGCATGATATGAAGGTTAAGATGGGTGACATAGAAGCTCGTAGCAATCTATCTGGAAGTCTCTACGTAACCATGAATGCTCCAATAGAAAGAAATTTTATTTTGCATTACATTTTTTGGTTCCATCCGTGGTGCTTCTTGAAAAAGCATTTATATTTATTACGCTCTTCATAGGACTGTTCAGCTACTCGCTTTTGCCGACGATATAGACATTATTGGACGTTCTCGGCAAGCGGATGCACAGTCATTTCTGGATCTGGAGGCTGCAGCAAGGAAACTCCTTACTGTCAACGAGAAAAAAACGAAATACTTGGTAACCCAGGAGACCCCAGGACATGGCACTAGGGTGAGTTTTGGACCATTCAGGTTTGAATAGGTATCAGAATTCATATACCTGGGCTCGCAGATCACTGTTGATAACCGGATGGACACAGAGATAAAGAAGAGGATTTTGCTGGCCAACCGTTGCTATTATAGTATGAGTCAATATATGAAAAGCACTCTGGCGAAGGAGGAAAAATCAGGAGATCTACCAGCGGTTTAATGAGGTCAATATTGTCAATTTTATAAGGCCGTCTCAGATGGGCAGGTCATGTGATCAGAATGAGAGACGACATGATCCAAAAAGGGTGTTGGTTGAAATTCTGCATGGAGCGCGACGGGTAGGAAGACCAAAGTTAAGATGGAGAGACAGCATGGACAAAGATGCCAGGAAGCTAGGTGTTGGATTTACATCCAAAAATTTATTGTATAGAACATTTTGAATTATCGTTGTATAAACAACACGGGGGACCCCCGGTCTCAACTTGCACTACCCCCTCTCTAAGACGGCCTTATCTGCGGCCAAAGGACAGATGCTAGCGAGCGAAGAAGGTAAAAAGGACTGCTGACGACCACCTCCTGACCAGACCTCGAGAACTACAGCCCTTCGGCTAAATTCTGGACCCGCAACGGCGGAGAGAGAGAGAGAGAGAAGGCGCGAGACCGGCCCCCTCATCAAACTGTACGTAAACTTTTATACATATATTCACAAGTATTCCCCTCTAGAACATTTATTTATTTTTGTATCTCTCAAGAAAAGGGCTCCCGGTCATATGGCATGTACCGGACCCCCCAATATTGAACATATGGTGCCCCGGGTGAGGAGTAATACTTGTGAATAAAAATGCTGTGAACATACGCCCATCTTTTCAAAATTTAATTTCTTTAATGTTAACTTGAGGTCTCGATTAATTTTTTTTTTTTTTTTTTTACGTTGTATCAACTAATAGCCTTAAATATTAACGGCATTTATTAACGCCAATATCGCTATTGATTAACGTAATATTAAACGGCTTAGACAGCCAGTAGGTGACTCTTAATACCGTTTGAAGCAACATTGAAGGCCTAATTCCATCGGGAACAACAACATCCTTAACTTCCGCCGCTACTTCTAATTTATCTTTCGTACATATTTCAATTCTCCAGCATCCAAATAATTCATATCTCGTCACATAATTTATGAATAGGTTATGTATTTATCATATTGTTTCGGCTATCAGCTCGGATTTATTTAGCGTGATCTAGATTAAGAAATAAATAAATATAAAAAAAAAATGTATTGGTTCACATACGGACGCAGTAGTTTAGGTGAAAAATGTCGCAGCATATAACTGCACTTATTAAAAGTCCGTATTATATTAAAATTGTTTGGTTCACGTACGTATAAACAATTTTATTGTAACTTTGCTTGTGTATATTTTGATTATTTTTCATATTTATTGATTGTTACGTGTGCGCACGTTTTCATATTTTATTTCATATTGTTGATTTTATATATAGATTTATTACCTCATTTTTCATGCATGTTTTTATATTTATTAAATATTGTTGAATTTTTTATATATTTATTAGCTTTTCACGCATGTTTAATTTCTTGTTATTAAGGTATTTATATTTCATTATTGTATACGCATAATTGTTCTTTTGTGATTGTTTTCATTTCATTTGTTTTTATTTTATGCATAGCTATTTATATAATTATTTACATTTCATCCTTCATATATATATATACAAATATTTATTTAATTATTGATCTTATTAGTTTATACGCATAGATATTTGTTTGTATTTCATTGGTTTATATGCATAAATATTTATTAAATTATTTATCTAGCATCAATTTAAGTGCATGAGTATTTACTTAATTATTTGAATTTCACTATTTTATATGCATGGATATTTATTTTAACGGATTATATTTAATTATCCGATAATTTATTGCATCTTAAATTTTTATCTAAATCTTGAGCTTTTTTTGTTCTGAAATCTTTTTTGTAGAAATTTGAATCAGGCAAGTTTCAAAGTTTTAGTTTTGAATCTCTCACAATTTTACGACTTCGTTAAATAAACTTAGTGATTGTCTCCTCAAATTATAAATTCATTCGGAACCATGGGTGGCGGTAACGAACAGTTGAACGACTTACCTGGCCACGGTGACGGACTCGAGCGTAAGCTTCGCCATCTCAGCGCGGTCTCAACAAATTATTTGTCCAGGCCGCGGATTTGAGCAGTGGGGACTTCTTCGAGTACGAAGTAATTTACGAGGAATCAAGGTTAATGTGGGAGAAATTTGAGAATATATGGGAGGAATTAGATGCCCTCTACACGTCCCAAGGTGCTTCAGCCTATCCGCCCGACTGGGAAACAGGCTACGACGCCATTCAGGGGGGAGTACGGAAAATAGAGGCGGGATATCGGAGGTTAAGCTCGCATCGCGCCGCGGTTGATAATAACGCCAAGTCTGGCTCAACCCCTTCGCTTTATCCGCCTCAACTTCCGGTCATAGACGTGCCCGTTTTCAACGGTGATTTGTCGAATTGGACGAGCTTTCGCGACACCTACGTGTCCCTGATCCACGACAACACCCACTTAACGCCGATAAGTAAAATGCATTACTTGAAAAATGCGCTTATCGGCGAACCGGCGTCGCTTCTCTCGGCGTTTTCATTCGATTCCGGCTCATACCAGCTGGCCTGGGACGCTCTCATGCGAGAGTATGATAACCCACGAGTTCTCGCGTCACGTTGGCTCCAGAGGGTTTTAAATCATAGGGCCCCTACTTCTGGCAGCGAGTATTCCAAGCATGCCGCTTACCTCGCGACTGTGGGCGAAAGTATAGCGAGCTTCCGCGCGTTGGCTCTGGAAAACGAAGGAGAAGTCATTATGTCCACCTTAGCTCTCCGCGCGTTGGACCCAGCCACCAGACGTCAATTTGAGCTCTCTCACGCGAACGGCGAGTTCCCTACCGCGGACGAAGTCATCGCTTTTGTGAGGCATCGCATGATGTCCTCAAAGATGGCCCGCGAATTTGAAGCGGTACCTTCCGACGCACCGCGCGTCCAGGAAGCGAACAGGAGAAGAACAGGAGTAACTTTGCTTACCGGCAAGGCGGATGTTCGTCCCACCACGTTTAAATACGCGACCTCGCCTAAACAGACGTCTTTGGACAGGAGTCTGAAGAGTGGATCCCGACGCCGACGGTCACTGGAGGAGATTCCGCGGAGTAAATCCATCTCGCCCAATAGGGATCCGTGTCCTCACTGCAAGGGGAAGCATCATCTGGCGCGGTGTTTCAGATTTCTTGCGCTGTCAATCGAGGAACGCTACAAATTCGTACAATCGTATAGTCTCTGTTATAACTGTCTCAGATCCGGCCATCGAGGTTCGGAATGCTTTTCCGCATTTACGTGCACCTTTTGTCAAGAAAAGCACCATAGCTTGTTGCATGAAAAAAATCGTTCCGACCTGAACACTAAGGAAACTTCCGTGGGGGCGGGCGATTTCGTCGGTCACGCTCGCGGCGCCTCTGTTTCGTCTGACTTCTCTTCTGAGGCACTAATAGGCACGGCACAAGCGGTGCTGTCCGGGTCGAAGCGTGATGCCTCGGCGCGTCTTTTGCTGGACTCCGGAAGCCAGTATACGTTCATCACCGCTCAGCTCGCGGCTCGCATTGGCAGCCCGATGCATCCTTTCGACGGCAAGATTTTGGGTTTGGGTGACAGTCCTGTCGGGAAAATTATAGGTTATATGACGTGCAGGCTCGGCGCGATCTTCGATGACCGTACGAATTTCAAGGTGCGCGCTTTGGTGGTGGACCGGATTACTTCCGATATACCAAAGCGCCCCTTACCCACTGGGTTGGTTCGTGAACTGTCAACCCATGTTTTGGCAGACACGTCCTTCGGAGTCCCGGGTCCTATCGACATGTTGGTAGGTGCCGATCTATATCCTCGCCTTCTCACTGGTGCTCCCACCAAGGCCTCAGTGGATAATGATCTCTATCTGCTACCAACTCTCCTCGGGAACGTCGTCATGGGGAATATCTCGACTAAAGCTTCATCACGGGTCGTATTCCTGTTAACCTACTCTGAATCGCCAGTATCGGTACGGGTTGGAACATTTCGGAAGCCGGAGAAACTTGGTCCTGCGAGCCGTAGCTTCGTCGCGAGCTCCCATACCGATCAAATATATCGCCCTCGTACACGGCGTTTCAACCATAACAGAGGAAGGATGCGCGTGTCTGTTAGAGATAACGACGTTTCTGTATCCTGCCACTAATTTCTGTCCGTGAGGGTTATCCTTGCGAGCCCGCCGTAAAGTTTCTCGCTCACGCGATGGCGGACGGGCCAGGACATAGTTCCGTAGTAAGTCCCGTAATAAGGTCTTGTTTCGCCCTTTCGATAATCGCTCCTGGTTTTTTTTGGTCACTCAAAAGCCGTTTTTAGCCGAAACCCACGACTTAAACACAAACGTGACTCTTTCACGCCGGAGCGTCAACAACTACTCACAACATCCTTTGCGAACTCCCTTCTGAATGCACACATCGCCCTGGCGCAGGGAGTGTGAGTCGTAAGGGAGTAACCACTCGCGTTAAGTAGGCTTAACGACATCATCATGTCTACCACTTAGCTGGAGGCGACCTATGCACATTCGGCAACATCATATTCGATATTAGCGCGATCGGCCGAATCTAGCGGGTTTTCGACCCCATTTTCGCGAATTTTTCAATTCCATTCGGTCTCATTCGCCGCTTACCAAAACTCTCCTGCCGGAGAATTGATGCTTGCCAAAGGTCCATCCGTGCGTTTGGTTTACTTCGCGATCGTCGTTTTCGTTTCGTTTATACGTTTAATCATTTTGCCGTTTCCGATCTCACAATTCGCGGATTTTCGATCCCGTGTGGTCTGGTCCATCGGTCACCATAACTCTCCTACCGGAGAATTGGTTCATGCCAAGTTTTATTCACATCGTGTGGATTATTTTTTGGGACTGCGTATCGGTGGAATTGCGAGGTACACATTTCCCCTCGCAATTGCGGCTGTACTTTTTCAAAATGTTCCTGGGCTTATCTTGGTGGGCGGCAGGGTTTTCGCGGCGGCGAGTTTGTGAGACGATTCATACCTTTGGTAGAATTGGCCATTGTTCAATATAATAACCATTGCCAATTTATTGATGTATATATTCATTATTTATTCTATAGTATTTATTTATTTATTTATTCATGTAGATATTGTTTATTTTACTTTGTGGATTTGGATGCTGGAGGCAGTTTCGAGCTCTTGTTTACTGCCTCTCCCCACTTCGCTCTTGAATTTGTTATCTTTGCTTATCATTGTTAAATCTGGCTGGGCCAAATTTAGGTGGGCGGTATGTTGGATTTACATCCAAAAATTTATTGTATAGAACATTTTGAATTATCGTTGTATAAACAACACGGGGGACCCCCGGTCTCAACTTGCACTACCCCCTCTCTAAGACGGCCTTATCTGCGGCCAAAGGACAGATGCTAGCGAGCGAAGAAGGTAAAAAGGACTGCTGACGACCACCTCCTGACCAGACCTCGAGAACTACAGCCCTTCGGCTAATTTCTGGACCCGCAACGGCGGAGAGAGAGAGAGAGAAGGCGTGAGACCGGCTCCCCTCATCAAACTGTACGTAAACTTTTACACATATATTCACAAATATTCCCCTCTAGAACATTTATTTATTTTTGTATCTCTCAAGAAAAGGGCTCCCGGTCATATGGCATGTACCGGGCCCCCCAATATTGAACACTAGGAATTCGAGGCTGGATGGTGGCAGCACAAAGCAGGGACAGCTAGCGGATGCTGTTGGCGGAGGCGGAGACTCGCTAAGTGGGCTGTAGAGCCAGCGTAGATAGATAGATATGAGAAGCTACATTAATATTAGAATCCCCCGTAGCTCACTTCCTTTTATTATATAGAAAATCAGAGTTTCATAAGTCAACTTTTACCTCCTCTGAGTTTATGAAACCCTTAGCTTCCTGCCCACCACTAGATTTCTCGATTTTAGTTTGTGTGCTCGAATCAGAGGCCAACACATCGGACTCCTCAGCCTTGTTTGCGAGGTCTTACCCTTGAATCTTTAGGCGAGTGCCCACGCGGAAGACCAAACAGCAGATGGATAGATAGAATCAACTAATAGAATGATGCAATAGAATGATAAAACAACTAGAAAGATATAACCCAAGACAGGTAGAGACAGGTACTTAAGGCGGCAAAAAGTCTACAAAATGATGCAACATATTACATAAAATTTTAATGAATATTACATAAGTTTAAAAAAATAATAAAGAAATTAAGAGTCAATAAAGAGGTTATTTGAGTTTACGATTTTGTTTGTGTTATAAATGTATCAGAGTTTCTTAAATGCAACTCACATTTTATATTTGTATCTGGTCTGTCGTAATAAAGGGTTGCTCGCTGCTGATTTAGTCTGAGAAAAGTATGGTGTTAGTGAGAAAAGAAGAATGTAAAGGTATATGGTGAGCAACTCACTAGTAGGACTAAACTTTCAGTGATCAAATTTTGTATTGTAACATATAAATGAGTAGGAAAACTATATTTATTTTTTTAGGTTATAATAATCTAAATCAATTTTGACAAAATCAAATAGTAAATATTGTGTCGATTCTGAACAGTAGTGTAAACCTTATGTTATAAGCTATTTTTCAAAAGAAAATACCTGACTGTGAAATGTGCCTCTTAAGCTCCCGCTGGTTTTAAATTAAACTGTGAATGTTTTATACGATTTAGGCTAAGCATTTATTATTCAATAATTAATCGTGATAAAAAAGAAGAAAACAATTTAACACTGATAAGAAATAAAATAAAATAATAACCTCTAATAAATGAAAAATAAGATAAGCTGAATATAATGATAGTAAAACCAAATACGAAATATTTAATAAAATTAAATGATATTTGCCTATGAAAATTTAATAGAGAAATGGTATATGACTGGCTCAAAATTAAAATCAATTAAACAAACATATAAATAGCTCTAAAATAAAATTAATACAAAAAAAAATAAAAACAATACAATGTTATGTGGTCGAAAGCAGATCGTAGAGAATGGACGAACCGCTGGTACTCCAATCCTTGTACATCGACTAAATGTAGATTTTTTATGATCGCTCATATAATCAAACTGCAAGTGGGCAGCAGCGAGCACGACGACAGAAGGTCTCTTCAGAGCAGATGGGCAATATAGAGGTTGGAGCACTGAGATCAGCAACGGACGGTGTCAGACTGTGTATTGGCCAAGTCCACGGGCTTAGGGCTTGAACCTAGGACTTGTTTATAGATAGTGCTACAATCCATAACAATGTATAAAGTAGGCACTAGTCTATATTGAATATAAGCAATATAACCTATGAACCTATGAACAATATAATTACTAATTGATTTCATTTTAATGAAATAAACAAAGTCATCAATTAAATAAACTATCTTTTTAAAAATAAAATAAAAGAAATTAACGCTGTGGCGTTAACAGTGCCGCTTACTGCAAAAAATATACTAAAATGCGCAAAAAAAAAAAGTTATTCCACATCAAGCCAAGTGCCTTCGTTCATAGCAAAGAACAAAGCAGGTTCGAGGACCTCCAGGGGTACATTAAGCAGGGTGGAGATTTCTGAAAAGAGTTGGCGATCATTCTTCAGGAAAGTGCCTGATGAGCAGGGATTGATTGTGGTCGCGTCCGGTTAATGTAGGCCACGCTCCTTGGATATCTTTATGATAACTAAACGCTTGAGCAGAACCAAACGATCACAGCTGTCGGCCATAAGAGCCCAAAGCTTCTAGAAGATTCATGGCTGAAGCCGAAAGGCAAGAGGAACAAAGAATAGCAGGAGAACTGAATTCCTTGTTTTCTCATCCAATATCATTCTTAATACTTTACCACTTACCAACATTTGTCACATCGTGGGCTCCGACCAGGAGACTTATATACTCAATATTTTCTAGGACTTGGCCTTGAGTGCAGTGAGCTGCGGTAAGGGCATGGTATGGAGTGAGAATTGTTGCACCGCAGAAGGCTTGAGGGTCTTCAGGATCTCCCACAAAGACGAGGGCAGCTATGAGAGGAAATTCATTCTTTTTGGCTTCGCGGCCTCCGACGATCCTCCCCTGCAAAAAAAAATTAATAATTTCTTACGATTGACCCTTTTTGGTCAAATATTTTTCTCAACTCTTGAGCGCAAGTGATTCGTTATCATAGTCCATTTTTTTTGCTGTAAACCTTAAAATATGCAGAGAAATCTTCAAATACAAAATATTAACTTAACGGTTATATGTAGTGATATATACAGTAGTTATGTAAAATTATGCGTTTCAAGAGGTCTTTATCATTTTCGAATTTAATTTCTTATCAAATTTAAAAATTCCCAGGTTTAAACAAAGGAATATGGTTTTTCCATGCTTTTGTCGAAAAATTTCTAATTTTGAGATCATATTCGTGTTTCTTGGCCTTGAAAACATAAGGGTACTAAATATCAAGTTAATCCGACATCTTTCCATTGAAAATAAGTTACTGATCTACAAGACAATATTGAAACCTATCTGGACTTACGGAGTTGAACTGTGGAACTGCAAAATTTTCTAACATCCAATTCTTCCAATCCAAAGTCCTTCGAACAATAGTCGATGCTCCTTTCTATGTAACCAACAAAACCCTACACCATGACCTTAATATCCCATTTGTCCTAGACCTTATCCCATCAAAATTCTCTAAATTCCACCAGAACCTTACCCATCATCCAAATCCCTTTGCACAATCTCTATCCAGCACCTCTATATAATCCTCCAAGGAGGTTAAAATGGCAGTGGCCCCGCGACCTTTTATAGTTTGTAAATATTGGAGTTCTGGCAATGGCCAGATTCTCCACTCACGACATGAGTGTATGTGGCTTAAGCACTCTTGCTCAATCTCCACTGGGTTTAGCCCCAGTGACGCGGTTGAGAGAGAAGTGCTGGGATCTCCTGGAGCCATGCTTTTCCCTCCACACTTGGAGGGACAAGTCTGGTTTGGAGTTCTCTCACCAGATTGTAAATATTGTAAATAGGTATGTATGTGTTCTTTTTATTCATTTATTTTTAGGTTATTTTATTCTTATTTATTGTATATATATTATTTTTTTGTATAATTTATTTTATTTACTGTACATAGAGTGTGAATGTGATCTGTGAACACTATTATAAATGTCCTTGAGACAGGTTGTAATATTTTTCAATAAATAAGATTAAAAAAAAAAAGAAAAAGAAAATCCGACATTATTTACAAGTTCTAGGCCCATGTCCACGAAAACCCGTCTTTCGTCCCACTGTGCGACTCGAACACAGAATCTTGAGTTTATCAGATTGCCAGGCAACGTATGCACTCAAACGAGTAAGCCCGCTCGGCCACTCCGATGTCTTAAGTTCCTTAGAACTATTAATTAAGACACTATTAAGATCTTTCTTCTAAAAAAATTGTTTCACAAAAACTGTTAATATGAACATATAATGAACAGGATAAAGTCATAGGATGCATTACGTTATGTCCACCAGACTTGTTGAAAATATAATATGAAACACTTTTTAAAATAATAAATAAAGTCAGCATTGCTAATTACTACACAAGTATTACTAAAGCAGAAATCATTTGCAATTGGAATACTCTCGACACTTCTACCAATTTCTCTGTCTGTCAAGACTCAATCCTTGTATAATTAGACCAGCCTTAGCAGGAGTGCCTCAGGGGTTAGTACTAGCTCCTCTACTATGAGAGTGTAAAGGTCCGATACTCTGATAGCCTAATTTACAAACGACACAACAATCTCTACAAGACCTAAAATTGCACCACACGCCTCACTCACTGATTTAAATCTATGTGAAATTTCAAGCTCTAAGATGTTATTTCCCGGAGATGCAGGAGGTTTTTAAAATAATAATTAATTAAGTAATTATAAATTAGTACTTGATTGAAATGATAAAAATGTTTAATTATATTCATTTATTATAAAATATGCAATTTGAAATTTTATTATTTGCGTCTGAGTTCACTGATTCGTATAGATTTTCGAGTATAAAAACTGCATGCAAACAAAATAAGCAATTATTTAATATACAGGCTCATTACATATTGATGTTTTGTACTATGCAGTAAATTTTAATAACTTACCTTGTTCGTTAGTCCACAGGGGCAGCTTGTGGGTAACAAGGCTGAAGCAGCGGAGAATAACAATGCTAGGGGTAGTATCGCTTTCATGGCTGTTAACAATTGAAGTTTATCAAAACTTAATTACTGTCATTAATATTAATTATAAAGTATTCACTACGTAATACTGCAATCAATGACCTCATTAATCTCATATAAATTTATATGATATTTGCACAAAGGCACGGTTAGTAAATAGGACAGACTGTGTATTTCCTCCGAGCTCTATTTCTAGACGGGCGGTAAAATTTGAATAGCGAAAAAAATAGTACATTCGCATTTTAGGAACTGGAAAATACCATGGTTTGCTTAGTAATCAGTTAATTTTCAAAAAATTAAAATAAATAAAAACTTTTATGAGGATTACAAGTATTATTAAATATATTACTAAAGCCAATGAAGATTACATTTTGTTTATGTTAGAATTAATAATTAATTAAAATTCACAAATTATTAAACTGTTTTGCAAATCATAGAATTTTCTGTGCTTTCATTTAGAAGAAATGAGTTTCGAAATGTATAATATATATAATAAAGTGATATATATATATATAATATATCACTGTAACAAGACCAACACCGAGACTGGTAAAAAAAATTAATTTTTTGAATAAACATTAATGCAAAATAGTTACTAATGCATGAAAATTTTAGATGCTATATGTAAAGAATTGGTATAACATATATACGTTTGCATTTAACTCTTCTAATTTTTCATTCGACTTACTTACGTTCTCCCTATCTAAAAAAATACAGTTATATCTCTATAGTACTTAGATAATAGGTAACTGCAAGAACTTTGCGTGACTCTTGCGCAAGACCAAGACTCGTCTCGGTCTCGCATTTGGGCAACACTACCCCAGGGATGATCCGTCTTAATATAATGAACAGGATAAAGTCATAAGAAGCATTACGATATGCCCACAGGCTTGCGGAACATAATTAGATCTTGCTATCTTGCACAGGCGGATCTACGAGGGAGAAGCCTCCCCCAAAAGGTAAAATATAACTATGCTTTATTTAAAAAAATATTAAAACTATCTCTTAGTGTATTATTGTTCGTGTAATTATATTTAATAGGACTTCAAGTATCATTTAAACACCAAGGTAGTTAATTTCTTACTTTTTTTTTTTCAAATTAACTATTGCTGTCTTTCGAGAAAAAAAATCTTTCGGGCTGGAGCCCTCCCAAATTAAATCCTGGGTCCGCTAGTGCTGTCCTGGGCACGCAAAATGTCTATATGTCTCTTTCGTTTAATGAACATATTGTTGGAGAACTTGGTGATGATTAGCCAAAGACCATTATTTTTAAGAGCTTCTCCTTCAATGACAATACAGATGCATTAGAGGCAGGAGGTCTGTAGATGCCCTGTTGAGAGTGCGGCGTGATTGGAAAGGAGGCGGTAACGTATATTATGCTCCTCCTGTTTGATATATACTCCATACCCGATAGGATTTGGTGTCCGAGGTTATTTCAATTATTACAGCAATTGCAATCGCAAGTATGAAACTTCTGTAAACTTGTATGGATTGTTCAGAAGATACCTCAAAGACAGGACATTGAAGGAGGAACTATCCGCAGGGCTCTACTCTTGGTATTTCCTTGTAGTCTTTACGACGAGCTGCAGTGAATGCTAGAAGAGGAGCAATTCTACTCCACCGTTTATGTTTTTAACGCGGCTGTTCTCGAATAGCTTAGCGATATTATAAGTTGAAGCTGCGCATTGTGCCATCTTGGTAAGAAAATATTATTGAAATAAAATGTTGTAAGAGCAAAAGATGTTGAGGATGGCAGATTTGAAGCCATAGAACAACTGATAGGGCTCACCATATCATTACAGTCTTTTGGAACATGAAATAACAATATGTCTGGTTGACGTGGTCACGTATCTTTAAATCAGCATTGGAAAACCTTTCGAAGCCTCACTTGGACTATATGAGCAATATAGAAGTTTAACAGTACCTTATTAGATAGACTAACTCGCATCAAAGAAGTCTTTTGATGGTCTCATGTTCCCAACAACAATAAGCAAGTTCCAAGGAAATAACAATTCATTTTAAATTGAACATTATTTTTATGAAGATACAAAAACTATGGAAACCACTAGTTTAAAAGACATTTGCTACTACAGTTCATCATCAATTTCTTGTAAAAGAGCACACAGTTTTGCTTAGTTTTTGTCCAAAGACACAATTCAGTATTCATTAATATACTCACCCGACTGCAAAAACAAAACAACTGGAAAGTATCTATGAATGACTCTCCATTTATAGATTTATGTTTCAGACAAACACAAGTGTTACTAATTTGGACTATTATTGTGCCAACCTTGAACAAACTTTTTAATTGGACTTGTTAGGTTGTATTTCTTAATCGTTAGCAGACTGACAAAGGTTTGAGTTTGTCAAAGATAAAATTAATCTGATTTTAATTAATATTTCCCCTTATTTAAGACAATGGAAATGGTACAAACCAAAATTATAACTTTTAATAAAACTTGATGCTTGATGGTATTTAAATCACCGTAGAAGTTTTATCTAATGCGATTTGTTTAGTAATCCATAAATATGAAAATAAAATGGGCAAGAGAAACATGGAAAAAATGAGCTAATTGCAATGAGTGGAGTAACGCTTTGAAAGTAAACAATTAACTCCGTGCATTTCCAAGAACCGGAGGGTGCAGTTGGAGGAAACGGATGGAGATGTTTGACTACTTCTTCATAACATCTGCCTGTACTCTCAGAAGGGCATTAGCAGTTGTATTTCAATTCAGGCACATACTGAATGGAGTATTGTTTTTTATGTTGTTTTTGTATTTTTTTTTTGGTGATTTATTTTTCAGAATGTTTTCTATTTTCCAAGTTTACTACCCCTCAGACACGGACATGCAGATATATAAGAACTTAAATTATATGTTGAGCTAATGTCAAGAGATGCTACGAGGTACCCTTAGGCGCAATGATATATAGCCCAGTCAAATTAGACCTTGCAATGTTACCTTGCGATGTTACCTTGCAAAATATCGAGCAATTCTAATTTATTTTTTATATTGTTAGGTATGTAGTGAATATAAAAAATATCAAGTTTTCGCCCTTGAAAGCCTCTTGGATTCGCTGCAATGCTCAAAAATCATTGAAATTTCGAACGTTTTTTGGTTTACGCTAAATATCACCTTTTCAGAACAACATATGTAAAAAACAATTATATTCAATCTTCAACAGCTTAAAATTCCATTATATCACTACTTGACATTATCATGACATTATATCACTACTGTTAGTACAAAAGGTCATATGTAAAAATTGTCAAATTTTATTCTGTTTGTCCTAAAGGTGACATTTTATTGTCTGCAACTGATATAAGCAGTCTGCTACGATGGAAAATGTCAAAGGGCAATAAAATATGAAATGATACAAATAAATCATAAAAAAACAAATAGTTTTCATGGTCATGGTCATAGTCACGGTGTTTTAAGTGCATAATCGTCTCCGATTAAATCTGTAAGTACAGATCTCTGTTGTGGTATGCTCTTTTGTAAAACACTCAAATTTTACATACTACCTTTTTACACACAAACCCAATAAGCCTATAGACCGCCCTGATTCTTACCGCCCAATTAGTCTTCTACCTTCTCTATCTAAAGTATTCGAAAAAATTCTGTTTCGACGTTTAAATTCACTTAGACTATTTGATGTCATTCCAAATTTCCAATACGGGTTCAAAGAGCATCATTCGACTATTCAGCAATGTTACCGCCTTATAGATTACATATCTTTCTCGCTAGAATCAAAATTGTACTGTCCTGGCGTTTTTCTTGACATGAGTCAGGCTTTTGATAGAATATGGCCCGATGGTTTGTTACATAAATTAAAAACGATCATTCCTCCAACGTATTACTTAATTTTACTATCATATCTAAAAGATAGATTTTTCCATTTGAAAATGGGGACTGAGTTTTCTGTCATCAAACAAATAAAAGCTGGAGTACCTCAAGGCAGTGTCCTGGGTCCAACACTTTTCAACATTTACTGTGCAGACATCCCACAACATTCTGAAACACTGTTGGCTACTTTTGCTGATGACTCGGCAATATTAACATCTAACAAGGATGCAGCAAAGGCTTCTCAGGTACTTCAAGAACACCTAGACGACATAGCTTGTTGGGCAAAAAGGTGGAGAATAAAAATGAACGAGTCTAAGAGTCAATTTGTTTCATTTACACTTAAACATAACTCTTGTCCTCCAGTTTTCTTTAATAATATTGCTCTAACACCTTCAAAAACTGTACGATATTTGGGTCTCCACTTGGACAAACGACTGACATGGACATACCACATAAAACAAAAAAGAAAAGAACTTAATCAGCGATACGGACTTCTTTCTAGGCTACTTGACCGACGTTCTAAATTATCTGTGACTAATAAATTAAGTATTTACAAAATCCTCATCAAACCACTATGGACATATGGGATCGAACTATGGGGAACAGCAAAGAAATCAAATATAAAAATCATTCAGTCATTCCAGTCAAAAGTCCTTCGGAAAATTGTAGACGCACCCTTTTACGTTTCAAATCTCACGTTACACACTGACCTTAACACTCCTTTCATCACGGCAACTGCCACTGACCGCTTTAATAATTTTCATGACAGACTGACTCTAAATTCCAATCCACTTACTCAAGCTCTATCTACTGCCACAAATCCATGTAATCCGCCCAGAAGACTGCTGAGGCGCTGGCCAAGAGACTTATTGCATTGAGCTACTTGCTGCATTATCTTTTTTTGTGTGTGTATTTGTTATTATGTTATAATGTATGTGTTATTTTACTACGTTTTTTTTTTTTTGTAGTTTTTTTTTTTGTCTTGTTATTCTTCTCCTTGATATCATATTTGCTGAATACTAAGGTAGATGGCAAATTTATTGTGAGCCACAAATATGTACAACTAATAAATAATTATAATAATAATACCTTTTTACTAGAATTAATAAAGAATCATCAAATATACAATCTGCAAATGCAGAATTGTTTCGCATTTTAGTATTCGTTGAT